CATCATCATCATCATCATCATCATCATTGCCGACTAAGAGATATGTTCAGAATATGCCCTTTAAAAATTGCCTAGTCATTCCAAAGAAACGGGCAGAAAGCGAGGATCACGATGGAGAAATTATAATATGTATGTGAACATCCACATTCCAAATTTGGTTATTCTTATTATAATTTGATTCCGGGTTTGATCCAGAATGATGGACAGAGTCTTCTTGAACAAGGTCAAATTGTGTTTTCAATTGATCTCGACCACGAAGATCCGTTGTCAGATTTCCCAAAGACAATGTTCCACCATGCAAGACAAGATTTCCCGTCCTAGGATATTGCCACCCAAAAAATAGAAACATCCGGTGAGGTCCGCTGCCAACATGAAAAAAAAGGTCCAACGCCCCCTGTATAGGTAGGAAAGACCAAGAATTGTAGTAACTTGCCGACGGCCTCTCAGCTGGTTGGTTGTGCGGTGCCTTGTGGAATAGGAAAAAGTGCATACCAAAATACACGAAAGGATCAATGGATATGATGCTTAGATAAAGATGCTATGATGACAGCCAACGAAAAAGAAAGAGCGTAGATGCGCCGAAAAACCACCGGAAACCCTCAAACGGCGCCTCTATACAACATGATTCGTGGGGAAAATATGTTCATCGCCAGTATGATGCAAACAGAAAAAGAAATGGCGGAAAAAAAAAAAAACCAAGACATGAGCCATGAAACCATGAACATTGCACAATTAACGAGTGGACGAAAAGTCGGTGGATACTCGGAGAAACTCTGACCCCGAGTTGACCTGTGCGGCGTGCAACAATGAGACATTTTCGCACACGATATTCAAGGCCTTATCAGGCAGATCGACCGGCCCAAGAGTCCATTTCCATTCTCTGCGGCGCTTAGCCCGACCCTGCCGGGGAGTCTGCGGTGTGGAGGAGCCATAGGCCTCAAAGTCATCCAATAGAGCCACTGCGCGAACCTGTCGCTCTATGCGCATGGTACGACGTTTTTTGCGCTCCGTCTTTGAGAGCGAAGACCCGCGCACGCCTTCATCGGCGCTAGTGTCATCCGAGGTGCTTGTCTCTGATGATGAGGGACTAGAATCGAAGTTCTGTTTTTCGCCTTCGGGGTCCTGGGAGGGGGCGGGGCGTGTCTCAGGTGGAGTTTGGGATTTGGCGTCTGCCTCGGCTGGCACTGCCTCCTCCATCACAAGATCGAGATGTTGCGCGGTGTAGCGTTCTGTGCGAATTTCTTCTTCCAGTGGGTACCGGTAGCAAACTTGTTTCTTGGCCGGAAAAAAGACACGACGGGTGCCTGCGCCGTTGGGTCCATTCCCGCCCGCTGAGATGGAGCCTGATTGTCGCCGGGCCGGTTCTAGTGGGGAGTTGCGTAGAATACTACGCACTCCGATGGGGAGTTGGTAGGGACTTCGGTGGATGAAGGGGGAGGTTGATTTGTTGTAGCGGATGGATTTGGTTGGAGAGGTTGAGGAAGCTGGGGATGCGACTTCGTAGGCATTCTTGAAGGTGTTTCGAACGGTGGGTGATGAAGCTGGCGCCGCTGCGAAAGAAAAGGATAGGCCAGTGGTCGAAGTGCCAAATGTGCGAGGGAGAGCGGTGGTTTGAAGGGTGAGTTTTGGACGGGAGGTAATTGTTGTCGTGGCTTCTGGCGACAGACACGACATGGTGAAAAGTAGAGAAGAATGAGAAGGGTTAAGTGTGTATCTCCGATCAAAGATAGAAAAAAAAAATAAGGCAGAGGAACGGTTAGCGGGGTTGAACTAAGAATAGAGGAGGTTGGCGCTTGGATGTGATGAAAGGTGCATATCACAGAGGGAAACTAAACACATTAAGTTTGAATCTTTGATGTTGATGGTACCCCATAATATAATATACCATCATCTATCACTCTATACTCCGAAGGACTCCGTTAAAAGCCCATGCAGAGATTTCCAAACTCAAGTGCGTAAACTATCGACGCCACCATCCACGCTATCTTCGCCTTTTTTAATTTAATGTACGAGTATGGGGTATGCAACAGTATCTATTTTTTGATCAATGTAGTTTAATATTTAACACATCCAAATCAGAGGCAAGATCAGGATCAGGATCAGAAAATTATCTCTATAAAAAGAACAGGCCCGTGGGTCTCTGATCTACATGCATATGGATACGTACTTTGGTGGACTGAATAAAGTGGATGTAGAGAAACATTTTAATCTATGTCTTGAAGGCCAGTTTGAAAGGCTTCGTTATCCACTTTGTCTACAACGTATAGAGGTATTCTAGGATCAAAGCCCTGATCTAAACCCGACTCTGGTATACACGTGACGGCCGCAAGCGTTACAGAGGGGGATTCGAGGCTACCATTGGTGGAAAATCATCGACATAAATTATTTTTAGGGCAATGTGGCATCATCTCCACCTGGTGTTGACCTTATCTATGTGGATTTTTCCACTTTCGTGACATGCCGGAGGAAAGCTTGAGAGTCGGATCGACCTGGACAAGGCAGAACGAGGTCTTTGGGTGTGGAGATGTCTTAAAAAAGGAGAGAAAGCAGCCTGGGAAGAGAACCAATCAACTTCGAAATAGCCTGTACCTCCAGGGCTTATAGCCCTGGTTAACTTTACATAGAAAAGCCCGTTTTCGAAACACGCCTTTTCCCGCCTTTTTCTGCTGTATACTTATGCATAACTTTTCAGAGAATATCTAAAATAAGAACTAGTCAAGGCATTAAACAATACAACATGAAATGGAAAAAAAGGGGACCGCGCGAGGCCGTGAAAGAATTGTGCTCCACCCCGGACTCCGTACTCCGGACTCCATGCACGCAACAAGGCTAATGGAGCCAAGCCACAAACGCCACATTCACATCAGCCACAAACGTGGTCCAAACTTGGGAATTGTCTTAGTTTCTATTCTCAGCAGCTTTGGGTCTATGCCAGGCACCCAAAAATCAATCTTAGAAGTCGCATGGACACAGCTCAGCTCAATGGCTGCACTGGTGCGGAATGACAGTCGTATCATCCTCCACTTGGTGACTCTCCCCACTCTTACCTAGAGGCTGCCAACGGTTGACTAACCATGTCCAGGATTATGACTGTTTCTATGCCTCGGTCTTCGAGGTTGAGCAACCTGAACTGAGATCATGTCCTTTGGCAGTTCAGCAAAAGCAGATTGTAGTAACTTGCAATTACGAAGCCCGACGGCGAGGTCTGCACAAGTTGCAGCTCATCAAAGATGCCAAACGCATCTGTCCCGATGTAGTAATCGTTCTGGGTGAAGATTTGACCAAGTTCCGAAATGCCTCCAAGGAGCTTTATCTGCTGGCTCGTTCCTTTGTCTGGGGCGGCCGTGTCGAAAAGCTAGGCTTCGACGAGCTCTTTCTCGACGTCACAGAAATGATTGAGTACAACATTGGCGTGCTAAATCAAAATGATTTGGAGAATTCGTACTTCCATCTTGATCGAAAAGACCCGACCGTTGGCTTTTCTTACGATGCCACTCGCTTCCAGGGATCGACCTTCCCCGCAATTGAGACAGCCTCGGTCGCCCAGAAAGATTCAACTTCGCTGAAAATGAGATTGCGTGTTGCCTCTCATTTACAGTGTCATATACGGAGTAAGATGGAGCATCAAATGGGCTTCACGGCTACGGGCGGGATCTCAACCTCCAAACTCCTAGCGAAATTAGTCGGTAATGTTCACAAGCCCAATGGCCAAACGACTCTATTGCCGCCATACACGGCGACCAAAGATACTACTAGCAACGTATTCCAGTTCCTGGACGGTCACGAGATCAAAAAGATTCCTGGAATCGGCTTTCGGATTGCCCAGAAACTTATTTCCCATATCACAGGGCAAGAGAGCGTCGACGAGAAGATCACGGTCAAAGATGTCCGCGAATTCCCTGGTATGGGCCCACCCTTACTGGACAGAATCCTTGGCGGGCCAGGCTCAGTGAAAGGGATCGGGATACGCATGTGGAGCATCCTCCATGGTCTAGACAATTCCGATGTGCTCGAGGGCCGCGATGTGCCCACCCAGATCAGCATCGAGGATTCATATGGCCGATTAGATACGCTCGAGAGTGTAAGACGAGAGCTAGTAGTGTTGTCGCGAAGTCTGATCCGCCGCGTAAGAGCTGACCTGCTTGATATGAGTGATGAAACTGTCCCCCAAGGAAGATGGCGTGCTCATCCTCGCACTCTACGGTTATCTACCCGACCAAGACCTTCGTTAGACTCTGGTACTACTGGGCGTACATACAGCTACAATCGCATCTCTCGCTCAGCTCCCTTGTCACCCTTTATCTTCAACCTGGATGAGAATATCGATGCATTGGCCGAGCGCCTGGTCCGAGAAAGTCTTTTGTCCATGTTCCGCAAATTGCATCCTGAAAAGGCTGGGTGGAATCTCAGTTTGTTGAATGTTGCAGTTACTAACATGGTGGAGATGGCGGGGGATCAGAAGCAAAAGAGCGGACGAGATATAGGGAAGATGTTTCGACAGCAGGAGACAACACTTAAGGATTGGACTGTGCAGGAGCTCGAGCCCTCACCGTCTGATGTGCGATTGTCCGGAGGTTCCTCTGAGGTACAGTCACAGTCGGACGATGGCTGGGATGACGATGAACCCTTGGGGAGTGTCGACTGTTCTATATGTGGGGTGCCAATCCCACATTTTGCCCAGTTGGCACATCAGATATACCATTCCGCTGAGAATTAGATATGGATCTGTTATTCGGCAGCCTTGAATGCCAAGCGTCGGGAGGTTTTTGATAGGTTTCTAGCGGCTTGGCCCTGAGCCACCTACGCATTCAATGTACTAAAAAAAAACCTGCAAAGAAAGAGAAACCATAGACCCTGGCGGTTTTTGCTCGTTCACTTATCTTCCATGCAAACTTGCCCAATTTTCGACGTTTTTGAATATACATGCCAACAGTGCATCGCCCATAGATCTGCCCAGCATGTCATATGCAACATCATTCGATATTGCTCGAATTTAAAAAAAAGGTGATATCTAAAGAAGTTGAAGAACCAGTCTCGGCTTACGGTGTATACTTTGTACTCCGTACATTAAAATGCATTAAAATGGGTAATGTTTCAGTCCACTGCCAAGCCCTCTGAGGATTCCTAAGCCCTTGGCATAGGAGCACTGCCTGATTATCTGATTCCTCTTCCCTTTTCTTCTGCTTTCTCTCTTGGGGTTCTTATTTCTTCCTTGACTCTTTAATATCTCTTTAACCCCCAAATCCCAGGTGGACCCTGAAAAGTTCCTTTGCTCAGGGCCCTGGAAACTCTATTCGCTGAAAAAAACCCCCCCGGGGAAAGCTCGGATTCAGATTTTGCTATGAGGTTTTCTAATCTCCTGCCCCTAATCGGTGCATTTTCATCGCTTTTCCAACAAATACAAGGTAAGTACTTTTGTACCCCCCACTTGCACCCCAGTCCCCAGTCCCCAGTCCCCAGTCCCTAGCCCCGTTACCTAGCCGCTAATGATCTCCAGCACGATCACAGGCCGCAGAGGCCATTCGACGAGTGACGCCCGTGGACAATGCCATCGTTCGTACTCCTTCACATCAAATAGACCACCTGTCACATTTTGATATCACTTTCTCCTTACACCAAGACGACAAACGCATAAAGCTAGAACTCGAGCCCAATCATGATATCTTGGCAGAGGATGCTTACGTGCAATACATCGGCGCCGACGGCACAATCAAACGTGCCGAACCAATCAAACGACACGAACACAAAGTCTTCCAAGGTCGCGCCTTGGTAGGATCTGGAAAGGGGAGATGGACGCCTGTAGGCTGGGCAAGAATCACCGTCAAAAGAGACGGCATAGAGCCCCTCTTTGAAGGTGCTTTCAGTGTGAACAATGACAAGCATCACATTGAGTTACAGTCGACCTACCTCGACAAGAAGCGCCCGATCGATGCCGATGTCGAGCCCAGAGAGGGGGAATCGATGATTGTCTACCGTGACTCCGACATGTTTCACTATACGCACTCTGAGCTCAAGCGTTCCCTTCCCGTATCCGAAGGCTGCGGCGCAGATCAACTCGGATACAATGCCGATCTGTCCAATTCGATTTTCGGATACGACTTGGACGAAACTGATGGTCAGTGGGGTGTGGCCTCGCTGAATTCAATGTTTGGATTGGGTAAGCGACAGTCATCCTCAGACGTTGGTGGTGTCTCGGGCAACACTGGAGGTGTGAATCTGAAATCGACCATCGGTGATATCAGTGGATGTCCTAAAACAAAGAAAGTCGCCCTGATTGGAATTGCAACGGATTGTGAATTCACGGAATCGTTCATGGCTACCAACTCCACCCCCGAAAAAGCAGCCAGGGACTGGGTCATCAACGTGGTAAATACGGCCTCGAATCTCTATGAAACATCTTTTAACGTGTCCATTGGTTTGCGCAATCTTACAATCTCTGAGACGGGCTGCCCCAGCACGGGCTCCACTGCCACGCCATGGAACGTGGATTGCAAAGGGGGAAATGTCACCTGGCGCCTGAATGAATTTTCCAAATGGCGCGCAAGTCATTCAGACAACAATGCCTACTGGACTTTGATGACAAACTGCCCGACAGACAGTGAGGTTGGGGTTTCATGGATGGGTCGGCTCTGTTCCTCTGAACTAGTTACCTCTGGTGCGAACTCTGTGACCAGTTCTAACGTCGTAGTTCGCAATTCCGGTTCTTCCTGGCAAGTGTTTGCCCACGAGACTGGTCACACCTTTGGAGCAGTGCACGACTGCGATGAGGACACCTGCGCGAGCAAACTAGACGCTTCATCTCAATGCTGCCCGCTGAGTTCCTCCACCTGCAATGCCAATGCGGAATACATCATGAACCCATATGCCCAGAACTCGATGACCAAGTTTTCAGACTGTACCATCGGCAACATCTGCTCTGCCATAGGCAAAAACAGCATTAAGTCCTCTTGTTTATCCGACAACCGCGGCGTCGTGACCATTAGCGGCAGCCAATGCGGCAACGGCATCGTTGAAGATGACGAGGAGTGCGACTGCGGCGACGAAGAAAGCTGCAGCGACAACTCCTGCTGCGATGCCAAGACATGCAAATTCAAAGATAATGCCGTCTGTGACGACTCAAACGACAACTGCTGCGTGAAATGCCAGTTTGCCTCCGCCAGCACCGTCTGCCGCGCCAGCACTGGCGAATGCGACATCGCGGAGACCTGCACCGGAACCTCGAGCTCCTGTCCCGACAACAAATTCAAAGACGACGGTTCGAGCTGCGGCAACAAGAACGAGGGACTCAGCTGCGCCAGCGGCCAATGCACAAGCCGCGACTACCAGTGCCGTACGGTAATAGGCTCCCTGCTGAACACCAACGACACCTGGGCCTGCGAGAACACAAATAGTCCTTCCTGCAGTCTCGTTTGTGGCGCACCTTCACTCCAACACTCAATCGGTGTCCAGGAGTGTATTGGTATGAACCAGAATTATCTCGACGGTACACCCTGCGAATCGGGCGGCCGCTGTAGTGCTGGACAGTGCAAGGGCTCTTCAGCCCTGGGCTGGATTCACCAGCACGAGAAGCTGATTATCGGCATCTGTGTCGGTGTTGGCACGTTCATCCTGCTCGCCATCTTCTTCTGCATCTATAGTCGCTGCAAGCGCAGTGCACAGCTGCGGAAGGCCCGCAAGGCTATTCCCCCTGGTCCCTATCGCCGCTACGATGGCCCCCAGCCGACTGCCCGCCAGCCTATGGATCAGTGGCATGGGTTCCGCAACGCCGGATATCAGAATGTGCCTCCAAATGCCGAATATCAGAATGCCGGGTATCAAAATGCTGGGTACCAAAATGCCGGGTATCAAAATGTGCCTCCCCCTGGGCCCCCGCCACGCTACTCATGATCATCGGGTTATATTGAACCTTCTCTTCTTTTCATTCATGCCTCTGAGATTCACGATCTGGGAGATTTGGGGATCGGCGTCGTCACGGGTGGTTGGTTGCACATGTGGTCACATGCATCATCAGTCGTTAAAGTTTCTATCATCCATGATCTGGGGTTTGAGGCTTTCTTGTCTTGTTTTTCTCTGTTCTTTTGAATTTGTATACTTTTTTTTGCAAGTAGATACTTCGAAGGTCCTTGGATCTATGAATCATACCGCACTCCCATCTTGTGACCTCAGCATGTAGATGTAGATGTTTTTAAGAGAAATAAATATCCATTTAAAGTGTTATTTTTACCCAAACTAAACACAAAGAGGCACTTACTCCCAGAACAAGAACAGGACACGACGATAGAACAAAAAAAGTACTCAAATCCCAACACCAAAGAAACCCCCCATGCACAACAAATCAACAATCCTCAGTCAAGCATCAAGCCATAAGTCTCCAAGAGACCGAACCCAACCGTATCCGAGCCCCAACAAGGGTGACCGAGAATTCCTCCTCATCCAATAACTCATTGCCAACAAATCCCAACAAAAGCCTCCCTGGTAACACCACCAACGCCCTCAAGATCGAACTCCTCGATCATAGCCCTAAGTTCTTCCTCCTCAAGCCCGGTCTCGCCCAACTCCCTGGCAACACGTCTCAAATCCTCAAGATCGATAAACCCCTTAGAGCCCTCGTCGAAAAGCTCGAAGGCGCGCAGGATCTCGTCGCGCGGGTCCCGCTCGAGGATCTTCAATGCCGTAACGGTCTGGAAGGACGAGAGTGGCATGAGCAGGTTGGACGGGTGTTGTGGGTTCGACACGGGGCCTTTGTTTGAGGCAAGTGGTTGGCCCGGGCCGTGCTGGTTGCCAGCGGCTTGCTGTTGTTGTTGTTGCACTTGTGGACGGGGCACACCGTACGTCGTTAGAAGGGAGATTAGCTCTTGTTTGCCGAGAGTGAAGCCGAGGGCGCGGAAGGCGACGCGTAGTTCGTGGTAGTCTAGGTGGCGGTCGCGGTCCAGGTCGAAGAGGGTGAACTTTAGGGAGGGGGTTGGTTAGCTGGGGGGTTTGGATGGTGTTTTGGGGGCTGGTTTGGGGTTGTGTTTCTCTTTTTCCTCCAAGGGGAGATGAGAGAAGGGAGGGGATTGCATTGCAGGAGGGCACATTTATGGAAGAGAATTGTGGTGAGATGGATGGATTGGGGTATCCCTTACAGCTTCGTTAATCTCTTCCCTCTGCTCTTCAGTCAATCTGTTCAACGGATTCGCGTCCTGCGCCGGGCCATGGGACTGCGCGTTTGTTGCTGGTGCGGGCGCAGACTGTTGCATCTGCTTCTGGCCTTCGGCGTTGAATTCACCTTGGTTGGCATTTCCCAGACCGCGATGCCGTGAGAACGATGAGGCGCTGAAGGGCATAGCGTTCGTGTTTACCGAGCGTTCTGGGAGTTTCGTGCCGGCGTAGGAGCGCGACGCGAAGGGTTGGCCAGAGGCCATGGTGAATGGCGTGTTCAGGTTTAATAAGATGGCTGGATCAAGAGGTCTTCAGCATTGATTTAAATGGAGGGGCTCGCAGCCCATGAGAATGTGGAGAGACGGAGGAGGTGTTTGGCGGTGGGAGGATTCTGGAGACGCGGGCGGAAAACGCCTCACTGTTTTGCTTTTGTTACAGATAAAGTGATCAACGAAATTCTTACTGCTTTCTTGGAGATTCTCAAATCAACTTTTATTTCATACTGTTTAAAAGGATGAGCGATTGAGCGAACTTCTAGACACAGCACTACCTGGTGCTAAGCACAGCCAATTGGACTTCTGTCCCAATCCAAAAAAAGAATTTCACTTCCTATCCAGTAGCTAGCGTTGTTCCTCACTCGAGTGTCGTATGTTCCTCCTATGGATAACTTGTAACAAAAGAAAATATAGTGGTGAGCGAATGTGGATGTTGTGGAAGCCTTCAACAGTTGTGTAGGGATTGTTGGAAATTGCCATGCAATGGCATTGTATCAACAAAGCTCGCAGTCATTGGATCGAATGTATTACCATAGTCGTTGCCGAGGAAGTTCAACAAACCATTCGGGTTAAAGGTCTCAATTTCATCGGTAAAGGGCATGTTATGAAAGGCATCATCATGTTCCTGGATGATCACCGTATTGTGAGAAGTTGTAGATGAATGCAAGAGCCCATCGTGATGCTCAAGAGGATTCGCCATACACCCAGGCCGAGGGAAACTATCAGCCAAGAACGTTTGCATGTCACAGGCTGGCGGTGAAAAAGGACTGTCGTGTCGGCGTAGAACAGAAGACGACATGTCCACGGGGTCTGCCAGCCAGAAAGCCATATCCACGTCTGGAGATGACGGGAGTTTGGGAACTACATCCTCAAGAATCGCTCTACAGGAGGATTTGCCGGTGGCCCCGTGTCTGGGGGACACATTGCGCAAGATGTCTTCGAGCTTTTCGCGAACGGCACTCAGAAAACAGCCGGAGAAGCCAAATTTTCTTGCAACAATTGCGTGTTTTTGAAGCTCTTGCAAGCCACATACAACGCGGTAATATAATGCTGCGGCGATCCAAGCGGGATCAACCTCATTTCCTTTTCGCGGCCGGCATTTCCTGTTGCTGTTCTGCTTGTCCTTTCCACACAGAGCGACATACAAACCAGGGCAAAAATCCTGAGACATTTGTGCGAGCTTCCGAAAAGAGAGAATCAAAAGATAACACGAGACGAGGCGCCCAGGGCTAGTTTCAAACCAGGAGGTACGGATTCGAGCTTGCGCCAAGCCTTGAATTGCCATAAATAGCTTTGCCATCCTGCACGCAGTCCAAACGAGCGAGCTGTGTTTGTATAGATCTCCAAGTTTGACCAGATCTGCAAGGGGGAGGACACTCGCAAACCCATCAATAAAATCGTCGACGGGGCAATCTGTCTTGCTCGATAGTGTGATACTGCACCTCGCCACTGTCCAACGCCATGCAGTGCAGTTTCCGCCATACGTTCCGCGGATATTGATAACCGCATTGAATGGATCAAAGCGTCCAAATACTTCCTCACTCATGCGCTGCAAGACATCTTTCGTCTCCTCGGACGGGAAGCCAATGATCATTAAAGAGCCTCCCACAGGCGGCCCAAGCAGGCACAGATCTCCCCAACTTCGAAAGCAGATTCGATTACCCTTAGAAGAGCATGGAGGACATGGTGAAGTTGTTCCACACTTCTTCTTGGCCCGATAGCAAGCCATACACGAGCCGCCAGCTTTCTTAAGTGCAGCGGTATCTTCTCTCTGTTGGTGAAGTTCCGCCGCATTACGGGGGATTTTTTCGTGGATTTTATCAGACTTCGCAGGATCCGCTGGATCCCAAAAGACAAAGCCATCGGGATACAAATCTTTGAGGGGGGGAGATGGTGGACGTACTGGCACAGCAAATGGCCGGGTTTCGCCGCTGCTTTGCACACTTTGAGAACAGCCACGTTCGGTCGAAATGCATGACCAAGAATCAATAGCGCTTGAAGGCCATGTCGAGAACTGAGACTTGGAGCTTTTTGGAGATAGGGGGCTTTGCAGTTGGTCCTCAATCATTGGAGGCGTCATAATTGTATCAAAAGAAACTGGGTCACCAAAGATATCCAGCTCCTGAAGTTGACTGCCAAGCTGCTGAGGCTGGCCGTCGATCGGATCGGTATTGAATTCGTTGACCATTTTCAGTATGTCTGGATCTATGGGCTGGGTCTCATATGCCATGGCCGTTGTCGACGATAGTTGCCATGTCTGTGGCATTGAATGCTCGATGTTGGGACTAGAAAGGTGAGGCATGTTTGATGCGAGTGGAGATATGCCAGACTGGAAGGTTAGTAGTCAACATCAAGAATGGACGAGACATGCAAACATATAACGAAAACCACAAGGACGTAGGAGGGCGAAATGAGAGATGGATCGGGCTTACAGAATAGATGGAGTCAGGTGTAAGCGGTGTACGCGGTGCACATCTACGCTCGCGGTTCGGATGAGGAGAGAATGCAGACGGCTGATGCCGTGTAGCTGCTTGCGCCATCATGGGTCCGAAGATAAACGAGGGGAATGAGAATGGTCGAGATTCTGAAAGATGCTCGAGCAAGGGGCAAGGAGCGAGAGCGAAGTGACAGGCTTAGGTCACAGCCAAATGATAAACTGATTTCTGTGCTTGAACAAATTGTCGATCCTTCGCGAGAGTAGAGACTGATTAAGTAAAGATGGAACTAGAAGATGTACCTGGGCACCTCTAAAGATACCTAAAATGGACTAGCAGGGCCATCGACAACCAGGTCCGATCTTAGCTGAAGCTTGGTTGAAGTTTCGACATCATAGCGAGGCACAACGGCGTCACTCGAGGTGAAGCAGGCACGACTAGGCCCATGAGGCCGCGTCCAAATCCGGTAAGGCGCACTGCCAGGTACAAGGTTTCTCTCGTCCATAGAATTTCCGTGGTTCAGGGCCGATGGAAGTATGAATACTGCCATGTCAGAGTTCCAGGCCTGGACATGGTGTATAGTTAGAAAGACCTGATCAGACAGTGAAGACAATCAATCTCTTTGATATGACGTACTGTTCAGATCATGGTCTCTCCGCGTGCCCAGATCCAAGTCCTCCAGGAAGGTACGACCGAGGAGTTGCTCTGGGAGGTAATCCTGTTGGACCTTGCCGTCCACATAATTTGGGTTATACTTGTATTCTGCACCATAGCCTAGCTCCTTCATGAGCTTCGTTGGCGCATTCCTCAAGTGAATAGGAATGGGTAAGCCCGCGATTCCTGGCTCGTTCAAGACGGCAAAGACGTTATTCAAGCCACGGTACGCGCGAGTGCTCTTTTTCGATAGTGCCATCGCCACGGTAGCGTGTGCCAGATTGATTCGTGCTTCTGGGAGTCCAATCTTCTCAACGGCTGAATGTGTGGATATAGCAAGTGACAGCATGGTGTTGTCCGCCAGGCCAATGTCTTCGGAAGCGACAACGATCAGCCGTCGAGAGATGAAGAGGGGGTCTTCACCCGACTGAATCATGCGAGCAAGATAGTAGAGCGCCGCATCTGGATCGCTTCCTCGAATGGACTTGTGAAAGGCGGAGATTGTATCATAATGCTGGTCTCCAGCACGGTCATATACTAACGTCTTAGTCAGGGATTGTTTCAGGTCCTCCTTGTCCATTCCAGGCCTTTTTGAAAGATCCATGGCTAGCTCCAACAAATTCAGCGAAGTGCGAGCATCTCCATCGGCGAATCTAGCGAGATACTGAACCAGCTCTGCGTCCACCAGTTCAGAGGGTGAATAACTCGGGCCTTCAACCCGGAGAGCACGATGAAGGATCGAAGTAATATCCTCGTCGGTGAGCTTTGAAAGGGTAAATGTGCGGCAACGTGAGAGCAGCGCATTTTGGACTTTGAATGACGGGTTTTCGGTTGTGGCACCGATGAGTGTGACCTGGCCGCTCTCCACTGGGCCTAAGAAGACATCCTGTTGTGACTTGGAAAATCGGTGAATCTCGTCACAGAAGATAATGGTCTTTCTCCCGGTGAGACCCAGCTCACTACGAGCTTCGGCAAATATCTTCTTGCACTCTGCCACGCCGCTGCTGGTACTGTTGATTTCCACAAACCTGCTGCCCACTAGCGACGAAATGACTCTAGCGATCGTTGTTTTCCCTGTCCCTGCGCTACCCCACAGTATCATACTTGGTACTCTGTCCTGTTCGATGAGTCCGCGCAGGATGCCATTTGGTCCGACAAGTTCTTGGCCGCAAACTTCCTCCAGAGTTTTAGGTCGCATGCGTTCCGCAAGAGGTGCTGCTTTGTGGAAGGAGTTGATCTTCGCACGTTTTGCTTGTGGCTCTTTGAAGTCACTCTTTGCTTGCCTTGACCCATCTCGCTCCCGCGTGGGGTCCGCTTCCTCAATAAATGATCGCTTGCCGTTTAGAGGGCGTGGGGTAGTTGTGAGACGCGACGGGGACTCCTTCGGGAAATTCGATTGAGCAGATGCTTTGCGCGCGGATGGAGGTTGGAACATGCTGGGGACTGGTCCCTTCTGGGAAGATGCCAGCTCTCCTGGAGAGGAGGACGGTTCTTCAATGAAGCTCTGGCAGCCCGAGTCGATATGGTCGTTGATCTTCAATTGGGAGACAGATTGCTCACATATTGGACAGGAAACCATGATGACCGGACAATAATCAGGTCATTCACTAGGTTATTCAAAAACTTCAAGGTGAGGTAAACGCAACGCGGATGCGACGCGTTCAACGCGTTAATTAGTAAGTAGCAGGCCTTGGTGCCTGAAGATGAGCAAACAACAAAGTCCACTGCCACTATGAACGATTGATATGTAGATATATAAATGTAAGTACATAAATGTACTATATAATCTCCGAATGATCCGAAGACATAAAACAAAACAAGCTGGTCCAAGTTCCGAGGGCCGTCAGGGCCGAGTGCGGAGCACGCCATGGTGGGGAAATCTAACTCCTCCATACATTGACCTCCCTCTTCTTACTTTCTTCAATACTCATGTTCTCCCGCTCTTATCGCCATATAATTGCTCAATCACAAAACTGCAGGTTTCGAAACCTACTATCCGCCCCTTTGACATTACCCCGACCTGGTTACATCGCAAGAGCGATGTCGGCTACAGCTTCGCGACCCGATCCATTTCGCCCCGCGAAGCGGGTGGCAGGACAGCGCCAGGATGTTTGGTATGTAGTTCTGGGAAACAAGCTCTGGACGACAAACTTAATCGGGATTCAAGGTCAATGGTCAACGAAGCCGCGGTGGCTTCGCCAGTTCAGCCGATTGTGAACATGGGCCAAGGGTTCTTGTGAGTCACGCTATTTGGCCCTAGATCACTTCAAGGGATAGAAATTGATGTACTGTCTTTCTGCACAGTGGCTATAACCCTCCTAAATTTGCTCTTGATGCGGCGAAGGATGCGCTAGACCGGGTGGAATGCAACCAATACTCTCCGACGAAGGTAGAGACCGCCAACAAGTCTGGGCATGGTCACACAAGTGCTCATACAATATAGGGCCGCCCCCGCCTCAGACAGGCTATCGCCGATGCTTACTCCCCCTTCTTTGGCAAGAAACTAAATCCCGAGACCGAGGTCTCGATCACAACAGGCGCAAACGAAGGTGAGAGATTGGTTCAATTTACCTACAAATGAGCATTTGGCGCTGACAAGTAACACGAAAAGGCATGCTCAGTGCCTTCATGGGCTTCATCGAGGATGGTGATGAGGTCATTATCTTCGAGCCCTTCTTTGACCAGTAAGAATCTCTATGTTTTGAGCTAATTGATGGGATACTAACTCGCTTGGAATAGATATATTAGCAACATTGAGATGCCTGGCGGTATTATCCGTTATGTTCCTCTCCACCCACCCAAGGATGGTGCCACCAAGACCTCGTCTGCGTCGGAGTGGACTATTGACTTTGAGGAGCTCGAGGGTGCCATGAACTCTAAGACCAAGATGATTGTAAGCATGCGAAACCAAAATTCTCATGGATTTTCAAGCTAATTGTAGCAGGTCTTGAACTCACCGTAAGCAGCCTTTATTTACGGAGACAAATACGATCTCAACTAACCCTATGTTAATAGTCACAACCCCGTCGGCAAGGTCTTCTCACGTGAGGAGCTCGAGCGCATTGGTGAACTGTGTATCAAGTACAACCTTATCATCTTATCCGACGAAGTCTACGACCGCCTTTTCTACGTTCCCTACACTAGAATCGCCACCTTGTCCCCAGAGCTGTACGAACGCACCTTGACAGTGGGCTCCGCCGGCAAGGCTTTCTACGCTACTGGTTGGCGTGTTGGGTATCTCATCGGCCCTGAACACCTGATTAAGTACGTGGCCGGTGCACACACCCGTATTTGTTACAGCAGTGTGTCTCCTCTTCAGGAAGCTGCAGCTGTTGCTTTCGAGCAGGCAGACAAAGAGGGCTTCTGGGACGAGAGCCGAACAGACATGAAGGGTAAAATTGAGCGATTCTGCGAGGTCTTTGATGAGCTTGGTATCCCGGTATGTGACCAATCTAGCCCTAACTATCAAATCGACCCTTCTACATATTGATTTTACTGACAATGACATGTACAGTACTCTGATCCTGAGGGTGGATACTTTGTGCTTGTCAACATGGCCTCTGTCAAGCTCCCTGCTGACTATCCTTTCCCGCCACATGTTGCTAGCCGTCCTCGGGATTTCAAGCTCTGCTGGTTCCTCATCCAGGAGGTTGGCGTGGCTGCTATCCCTCCCACTGAATTCTATACCGATGCCAACACTCACATCGCTGAGGATTATCTCCGCTTTGCGGTGTGCAAGAACGATGATGTTCTTGAGACTGCTAAGGAGCGCTTGAGAGGACTGAAGAAGTACATTACCCAGTAAAAAAAACATGCAGTGCTTTGATATGTGAGAAGTGAGGAGATGTGCATATATTTGTTACGATGCCAATAGACAATTGGATTTGATTTAAGGATGTAGGATATGTGCCACTGAAACCTATTCTCCTTGTATCCCTATTTCCTTCCATGATAAATCTTCTAGTACAAATCTACTCATGCACAGCTACTTAGTGTAACTTACAGCACCTAAGAACAATGAACCAGGCACAGTAGGACAAAGGCACAACCTCGCAACGGTTTTTGTTTCTAGAAACAAAGAAGGGGGCGGTCAACTCCCCCTCCAACCCACTACCACCACCGAAAACGTAATACATAAATGGGTATCCTGGACAAGGGGGGCATCCACCTAATTCGCACTGATGACATCTCTCTCCAAACCAGCCACCCCAGGTCCCAGGGCCCCGGTACAAAACAGATGGGCTAGGGAGGGGACGGCTCCCTACCCTAACCACGGCATCTCCAGCTCCATGGGGCCCGTTCCCGCCCCGTCCCAACCGACGCCACGACAGAATGTCTGCCGGTCCATTGAGAGGACCTCCGAGAATCCTGCCCCGCACGTGCGAGCCACCACGTCGCTCACCGAAGGATGAGTGGCTCGGTGCGCCCTCAGAATCCAATAGTTGGATTCAAGTGCTTCACACACTCTCCGGAAGCCCAGCCCCATACGGTGGTTACCGAGCAACGTAGGGCGACGCTCGCTCGCGCAGGTCAGATCCTCGCAGTGGCGTCGGTCAGCACCGACCCACTCCGTCTCACAAGCATGCCGCAAACCAAGACGGCTCTCATCGATGGTGTAACCCATCTCGAGTTTCATCTGGTGGCACAGCATGCTGTCCATGTCCTTGTCACTGGCCCACATGTTGTGAGCCCGCATCCAGTCTCGAACAAGCCGATAAAGATAGTCCACGAGGGCTGGATGTTCAACCGCCGCTAGAAGGAAAAAGAGTCAGCATATGTTCTAAAGGGTAAACAATTGCGAGAGTTGTATAACTATCAAAGTGCGGGGAAACCGAGAGTGAAGTGAATTTAAAAGTGCAAGGAAGCTGAAACTTATTTTAAACTTACCGAAGAGACAGATTGCCAGGCACCGGCGGAACCGGTCCTTCTCCTCGGCGTCCTCGAATCGCACAATATTTGCGATTCGAGGTGAACATCGCAGCCCTATGTGACTGGGAGCGTCCTCAGCCTTCACCGGGTCATCCAATTCCTCGAATAAAAAGTAGTCACCTCGGTCACGGGCGGAACTAAACCACAGTGCCTGACGATGGCGCTGAGGGGTGTCCCACAGGTGAAGGCAAGGAAGCATTGGTGGACCCATGAGATCGTCGTACGGAATCAGACTGGCCAAGTGCTGTTCCAGGACTGGAAGCATCGTGCAAACCTCCCAGTGCCTCTTGGCATCCTCCCACAGGTGGCTCTTGCCGCAGTAGCGGACCAAGGAAAACGGCCCACACTTAGGGCAAATAACGGAGACTCCATCCCCCATAGCACAGAGAACTTTGCAGTCTCTCTTCTGGCAAGCAATACCGACCTTGTGCAAGTCCATCTGTAGCTCAGAGGTTTGGGCCCCAATTTTTCCGAACTGCTTAGCTGTGGGAGTTGGTTCATCATCCTCAAACAACTCAGGTGGAGACGGAGAACGACCTTCCACTCCATCGCCCTGAGAGGAAGCACTAGATACGAGGTTCTCAACATCCGCATGGCGTACTTGATGACGCTTCGTCAAGTGCTTGCGCCGCCGTCTCTCGTGCTTCTTCTTTTTGTATGCGGTCTTCTTGCCAGATCGGCTAGACTCAGTTAGGCTTTTTTCACCTCGCAGGGCGACGCCATCTGGACTAGGATCATCTTTCCCAAATTCAGCTGAGTCTGTGGTGGACGAGGCAGAAGAGGCACAGGAGGACGATGGAGGATCAGCCGTTGGGGACAATTGTGCGTTTTCCTGACTCCTGAAGAGCCCTGCAATCTTTTTTTCAGCCATGTATTCAAAGAAAATTTTATATAGAATGTAGCTGCATACGTAGATTGGCCGCATCAAAAGACATACATCGACGCAAGATTGGCTCCTGCACCTTGTGGCCGCCAAGAAGCTCTTCGGGGTCTAAGTAATAGTTAGCATCTGCATCAACAATGATTCAAAAGATGGAGATACTTACCGGAACACCACACCTCGTCCACGTTGTCAGAGACAGGGCACCGCATTCCAACCTCATCCCCCCGCGAAGCAAGGCACAGCTCATCCGAGGTCTCTGCTAGCTCAATTTCTTCCGCTTTCACTTCCCCTCCCCCCTCGCCCCATTTCTTCCATGAAATACTCATAGGTGTGAAAAAAGATGAAAGTGAGGATGAGGGGTGGGGAGTGTGGGGGGAGAAGTGGGTTCGGGCTGTCTCGAATGATAGAGAAATCGGTGTAGACAAGTCATTGGGGTAAATAGGAGACTGGGGGGCATTGACTGTTTGTTGGCCAGCAACTGCTGCAAGTTGCTGCTCAGTCGGGACATGCTGTCGAGCAATATCTAGTACACCCGGAAGTAAGTCACCGCAGCGGTCGTCAGCACGCTGGTTATCAATCTGGTCTGTAATGTGGTCCGAATTCTTCTTTCCTATGTCAGAGCCAGACGAACCAGGCATGCGCTTACCCTTCCCTTTACCCTTGCTATTTGACCTTTTGTTGCTCTTCTGAGTATCAATCGTGAGTGTAGAAACCCTTTTAGTCAACACTTTCTGGGTTGAATTTTGCTTTGTGAAATCTTCCTGAGGCATCTCTTGACTCCCCACAGTCTCCATCGTGTGTTCGTGCCCCAACACAGACTCCTCTGGAGTTTGCATGGCTGGCACATATGGCTTTTCGTCCTCAGATCTTCCTTCTTCTGCTGTGAATGGTTTCCGGGCACTTTTTTGGGGTTTTTTTGATGCTTTCTTCCCTTTGTCCTTCTTGATAGAGGAAAGGGTATTTCTGTCGACAAGCAATTTTCCAAACAAATTGCTTTCGCTGCCGCCGGTCTCTGATATTAGCCATTGAATCCGTAACCATATCCGGACCGGAAGTGCCATCCATTTGCCGTAAGTGCTCTGTAAAATGTTAGTTAAATTCCAAGTTTAGTGACGGTTGTAGACCGACAGGGTCATTCTTGGAGATGTTCTGATAGAACTCCTCACGCTCATCAACAGTGACCAACATCTGTTCCTCGGCTTTTGCATTCCGGGCGCTCACAAACTTGAACTTCAAGGTTGGCGATTTTTCCTTCGTCTTCATCCAGCTTACTCGACAGCCGGATATCTCCCATGGGGTTGTCCAGTTGATGTAATAATTATCTCTCTTCGGGTTCTTCGACTCTCGAAGAGCCGGTGCAGAACCAGTCTCGATATTGCTCATGGCAATCTTCCTTGGAGACATAAAGAGTGCTTCGATCGACTGCATTATCCCCATCATGCCACCTGGGTAGCCAGCAGGGACCTTAAAGTCAACGTGTACCATTTTGGGGCTTGCAATTTCTCCATGAAGTTCGCACTTGGGGTTACCCTTTGGGTAGTTCTCCACGGCGAACTTCGGGCCAGGGGTCTGCCAGTTCTCAATCTTCAGCCTCAACTGGCCATTTCCCAGTGTGAGCCCAGCCTTTTCGTCATTCCAACCATCTGACTTGGACTGGACTTTGCCAAAATCTTGATCTGCAGATCCGCTTACCTCGGGTAGCGCTATATCAACGGCAAGTGATCCAGGGTTGAGGAGCTCTGGCACTCGGGTTTCGTGTGTGGTGTACTGATTTGTGGATAAAGTCTGAGCCTTTTGGATGCATTGCTGAGATTCGGGCTGATCTTCGTGTGTCTGAAGCAGTTCAATCTCAGCTTGGCTCATCTCAGGATTATCAGAGCTGAGCAGCTGGGTGTACAATTCCGACTCGGCGTCCTGTCCCTGTGACGAAGCAGCTGATTGGGAATCGTGGGGGATAAGCTCGCCACCGGCGAACTTGCTCAAAACGGTAGGCATCTCAGATGATTATTATGGCGAACTATTGCATTCATCTCGTCAGTAAGTGCCTCTCCACCGAGTTGACACTTTCCAATACACACCGAATGGGGGGGAAATGAGGTACTTGATGTTTTTAGCCGAGCATGGGAGTCAAACTGACTATGCGTTAGCTGAGGTCTATCGAAGTCGGATGCCATGGCTAACAAGAAAACTCACTTGATGAAAGGCAAAAGTTTACAACAGTTTCTTACTTTCCACTGACTTTCCGATGTGTTAGTTGAGGCTCATAGATGAGATGCATGAAGATCTTACCAAGTACTCCTCGTTCAGCACAGGCTCTCTTCAGCCCAAGATAGTTCTCGTTTCAAGAAAGATACCTCTCTGCAAAATACGTCACTCAAATGTGAGATGGGTCATAGTTATTCCCAAGAAATGACTTACCAAGGTCAGTTCGTGACAGACTCGTAACTGTGAGACTTGATCTCACGCGGGAAGTTGTGTGCACTGCCCCGAACATGTATCAGTCGACAGTACGATGGGAAATATGGCTTCACAAGAGAAAACTTAACAAAACTGGTGCTTGAGACACTGAAAGCTGTGGATCTGGTTATAATAGAAAGATTGTGGATGCTGTTTTGATCTGATCATGGTTCCATTAGCCAATAGTTATGGGCACATGGAATGATCCAACACGTGAAGATGGGTGATAACTTACTGTTTGCGGCTTCAAAGCTTGGCTCATGTGGTAAAACAAGCTTCTTCTCATCAGCACGATGGCTTTAGTCAGTGAAATGCATAAAGAGGGATATGCACGAACCAAAGCTATGGTGTGTGCGGGAGGGAGAGGATTGAAAACAAGAGTTTGGGAAGAGAGGGCGATGCAAAGAAGTAAAGACACCAAAAGAGGAAAAGCTTCGGCATTCGACGACAACGAATGGAGCAAACAAAATTTGCACGTGCTACCGCCCCAGAGTCTTCAGTAGGAAGTTGCGACTTGCCAGACGAGTGTGGTAAAAGTGAAGATAAGTACCTGTGTCTCTTCTCAGCAAACTCGGCAAATGCATTTTTGAGGCTGATCAAACAAATCGAGTGGAGCATCTAGGAATGAAATAGCCTCAACAGCATCTACCAGCGGGTCATGGTGCTGTGGATTTTTTATCGTCAAGATTTAGTTCCGGTCCTGACAATTACTCGACAAAGAGTCTCAAATTGAACTTTGAAAGCTTATCTGGGACGGAAGATTTCGTTGGTTACCATCCCCAAATGATCCATACGTGATACTGGGAAGTCACATTGAGCAAACGCTTTGGCATGCAACAAAAACAGTGAAATCGATACCATTTGCTTGTCGCCCCCACGCGAAGACCAGGGACTTAAACACGAAAATTACATCCTATTCCCACCATTACATCTGAAATACCAAGAGCAGGCATCTAAATAGCTACGTCCGACAGAGCCAGCTTTTGCCCAACACTCGACTATATCAAAGACGAGGCGAAAGAACTGACATGTGGTTCGGAGGCCGCGCCAAACGGAGTGACAAGGCCAGGAGGACTATTTGTAGACAGTATCTATCATCTCTTAGCTACAGATACAGCAATTCAATTTGATGATAGATCCTACAATCTTTTGTGCTTTACACAAATCTTCTCTACATAGGTCTCTCGAGAAACCCACCTGAAGCATGCATATGAAGACTATCTTGGAAAAAGAAACAGAAGAAAGGCCAGTATATTAGGGATTTATTCTAAAGCTACTATAGAGGAACACAAATTAAGCAATTAATTGGGGGTTTGAGCGTCTTCTTACCAAGGAATTCAAGGCATGTAGTTGCAAGTTGTTAGGGTGCGATTGGGTCACGTGTGGTCACGTTTCACTGCTCTTTCAATGCTGGCGACCACAACTCGAATAAGCATCAAGTACCGTTTTCACGCACCCCACCCTTTAGTGGACTTACTAAATGAACTATGATCACAGTGGAATACATTTTAACACGGTTGACTACCTCTCTTTTGCCCAAAGTTGTACTCGTGAAAATTTGCTCTGCACTCGAGTGCAATCTTCGGTGAATCGATTCACAGGCTGGAACACTCGAGTTGAGCGGCAACATCCAAAAAAAAGACTAACCTCTAATGGCGTCAAAGCATCCACATCGTCTACACGCATGCCACGGGACTAAAATATCTGTACAAGCATGATGTTAGATCAAGCAGCAATCGCTGTCCGGCTATTGGCTCCCAGTCGTGGGCGGCTAAGCGCCCATAGTGGCTATATTTGGATGATTGTCCACACTGATGCTTTTGACGCACATGGTAGCCAGTGAGATTCTTTGATGCTTCATGAAACAAAACATTGCACAGACCTCTTGTCTTCAGGCCCTTTTTTCCATTTTCCTTGTTTCAAAATGGTTATGGTTCACTCTGATTGGGGCTGTCTCGACTACACGGTGTTGCCAAGGTCCATTCAACTGCTTCTTTGTGAGCAAAATTGGGCTATTGTAATTTCTGCTGCCGCCCTGGATGCATGAGAAGCGTTAGTTGACGTTTGCTGGATATTTGAAGATTGATTGTCCCTTGTTCTATTTTGATTCTATTGTTTTCAGTCTGCCACCGGCTCTATTGATCTATTGATCTCCTCTTTCATTCAACATTTATAAGAAGTCAGATACGTCATGTCCCTCCACTAGTCCGGGCTTTTCCTTTGCTATCTTTTTCTTCTTTCGAAAACTCTCCGTTTTGATGGAGGTTTGCGGATTGTTCCTTGATTTAATTACACCCCCCAAGCATTCCCTAGCCTTCGCTGGACGAGATTACGCCTGAAGAATTTGCCAACCATTTTTTTTTCGAAAAAACGAATCACTACAATGGCATTCTCCCGATCTGGCCGATCGGTCTTTCCACTGCTCCCGCCTTATGGGGCTCACGATTCAAGCACCGGGCGGATAATCCCTCTACATCCTGATGGTCTCACTCCCTATCTCGGTCTGCGAGCTCGACTTTCACAAGTATGGATCAATCGATGGACAATACTTCTACTGCTTGTCCTCCTCCGAGTCTTGCTTGCAGTTGGCGACCTGCAATCCAACATGGCATCCGCCAAGCGTGAGGCGCTCTCTGCATGCACGTCTGTGGAATCTATGGGTAGCGCGATGGCTTCAATGCCACACTACCTATCCAAAGGTACTAACGAGCTTGTGGCTTCCTCGGTTGATGAGGCGGTTTCTGCCCTGAAATCCGTGTTGTTGATGACTATCACGGGTGTCGGGGAGATCCTCTGGTTCGTCATTAACATGATGTACTCCACCTACGCCTGTCTCATCACAATGGCCGTCCGCGGCACTGTAGGAGCCGGGATTGAAGTGATCAAAGAAGCTACTGAGTGGATCAACAAAACCCTCAAGACAATCAGTGGCGACATTGAGAGCACCGTCGACAAATATAAAGACGAACTGAACTCATTCCTCGAGACAATCAACAAAGTGGCCAGCGTGTTTTCGGATGATCCTAGTCCAATCAACCTCAACAGCTCAATTAGCACGCTGGAGAATCTGTCCCTTCCGTCGTCAGTGAACCGCACGGTGGAAAAATTGAATAGCGTGGTCCTTCCCAACTTCAAAGAGATCCAGAATTACACCAAGACGCTCTTCCAAACGCCCTTTCAAGAAGTCAAAGATTTGATCAACGGAAGTTTGGGCACTTACAGCTTCGATCGGTCCGCTCTCCCTGTCCCTGCCAAGACACAGTTGACCTTCTGCAACGACAACAAAGGAATCGACGATTTCTTCAATGAGGTCACCGAGCTAACACTAAAGGCACGCAAAATATTCATTGCTGTCCTCATCATTGCTGCCATATTAGTGTGCATTCCAATCGCGTGGCAAGAAATCCGCCGATGGCGCTCAATGAAAGAGCGCTCCCAGTTAGTTCGCAAGGAAGCCCATGATCCGATGGACGTTGTGTACATTGTCTCACGGCCATACACCGCCGCTGCAGGTATCAAGGCAGCAAGTCACTTCAGCAACAGTCGCCGACAGATCCTCGTACGATGGACCATTGCCTACGCAACATCCCTCCCTGCTCTTTTCGTACTGGCTCTTGCACTGGCAGCACTATTCTCTTGTTTGTGTCAATATCTGCTTCTCCATACGGTCAAGCAAACTGTCCCAGCGCTAAGTGCCGAGGTGGGAGAATTCGCAGACAAGGTCGTTGAGGCACTTGAAAGAGCCTCGACCGATTGGGCTACCGATACCAACAAGGCCATACTTAATCTCAACAACGACCTAAACCACGATGTCTTTGGCTGGGTCAACACCAGCACGCATGCCATTAACGGGACTCTAAACTTCTTCATTTACAACACATCCAGTGTTCTGAACGAGACCTTTAAAGGTACCATTCTTCAAGACCCCGTCTACGAGCTATACGAGTGCCTCGTTGGCCTGAAAGCAGAGGCATTTCAAAAGGGTCTGAACTGGGTAGCTGAGCACGCACATATCTCCCTCCCTACCCTCCCGAATGACATATTCTCCGCCGGTGCCGCCTCCAGCATCAATGACACGTCCAATCCTTCCGACAGTTTCCTCGCCGATTCAGGCGACCAGACAGCCAACAAAATCACCGAGGTCGTCACCAGCGTGATCAACAAACTCGAAGCAGCCGTGCGCGTCGAAGCCATCATCGCCACAATAATTTTCCTGCTTTGGGGTTTCATAGCCTTTGTTGGTATCACACGAGCCATGATGCTTTTTTGGAGCCGGGACAAGCACCGCGGTGAGGGGGGGCAGGGTCATATTCTAGATCCAGTGCCCAATGGTGGGCCACCACCTCAGGATCCAAGAGGTTTTACTGAAGTTCCACTCACTGCTATCCCGAGGAGCATGTCTGCGGATGGACACATTGCTCCTCACTACACTGCGGCGGCAGCATCCTCTTTGCCTGTGCGTAATGAGACGCCGTCATATGGTGATGAGAAGCTTGGTTTTGCAGGGCAAAGGAATTATGAGCATGCATTGCAGGTGGACTCTGGCCCTGATCTGAGGGGAAGTAGCTACGTTGAATACGATGTGAGGCGATGATGGGGAAAAGTTTTCTTGTCGTCCTTCACCTCTCTTTTCATCCTCGACTTTCTGAAGAGAAATTTCTCTACACATTCTCCCCTTGTCTTTGTGCCATCTCTAGCATTGTATTACACTCGCCTTTGCCATTTATTTCTATGTGGGGTCGGTGTTTTGTTGTAACAATTCCCAATAATATTGCACACCTAGTTTAGAACCAAAAAATACAATGTGATTTTGAAATCATAGCTATCGTAAGTTACATCCCAAAAGTACAGCTCATACAACACGTCTTACAAGATCAATATTAAAATGCGTAGAAAGTGTCAATCTAGTAGCCTGACTGTACTAATTAAAAAACACCAAGACAGGCTCATAGAGATACTTGGCCACAAATGAATGCCCGCTATATGGCAACAAAGAAGCTCTTCTCCCCTTCCTTGGGCTGCACTCTCACCCTCTCGATAATCGGATCACCGCAGCTAATCCGAATACGCTCAGGTGTAGCAGGTGATTCCAAAGAGAGTACGCCATTCACATTCCACTGCTTACGTGCAGCCTTCAAGGCGTCACGAATAGCGAAGAAAACCGCACTGCCCATAAACAAGGGCGGCTCGCCGACACCACGAGAGCGTTGAATGGTGCGCAAGTTCTCCCACTCCACATCCTTAAGCAAACTCACATTGAAAATCTGAGGGATATCACGGAAGCCAGGGATTTTGTAACTACCCGGGCCTTTGGTGAATATTTGACCGGAGGCACGGTGCCAGAGACTTTCTTCGGTTGTGAAGAGTCCTTGTCCTTGCACAAAGGCGCCTTCAATCTGGCCATAGTCTACTGACGGGTTTATACTGCGACCCACATCCATCTTTATATCGGCGCGTAGAGGAGTCCAATCACCGGTCAGCGTGTCGATCTGGACTTCGGCTGCGGTGACACCTTGTGTGAAGTAGAAGAACATCTGGCCGCTGTTCTCGCCCCAAACATAGCCGATATCGGGGGTACGGTAGTATCCTTGTGCGGAGAGGTTGACACGGTCGAAGTAAGCTGCGTGGGCAAGTTCTTTCATGGTGGCGTTGGGCATCTTTTCACGGAAAGGACGTAGGCGTTCGTTGATTTGTTCACAGGCATTGAATATGGCGTAGCCGTTGAGGTCGGAGCTTGCTGAAGCAGCGGTTGCGGAGGTATTGGCCACTGTATTAGTTGCGGTCTCGGAGATGAAGACGCTCGCCTGTGGCACTTGCAGCGCTTCTGCGGCGATCATGGTCATCTTTGTGTGGAGGCCTTGTCCCATTTCAACGCCACCGTGTGCTACGAGGACACTGCCATCGTGGTATATGTGAACCAAAGCTCCTGCTTGATTCAAGAAGAGAGCTGTAAAAGAGATACCGAACTTGGTTGGCACAATCGCCATTCCACGTTTGGACCACTTGTGCCGCGTGTTGTATTCCTCGACAGCCTTCCGACGCTCGTTATAAGAACTCTCCTCTAGCACTTGCTTGTACATCAATGGCACATACCAATCTTTGAGCGGCTGGTTGAAATGTGTTGTGTCATCTGACTTGTACATGTTGATGGCTCGGATCTCTTCGGCCGGAATGTCCAGATGATCTGCAATCTCTGATATATAACACTCGGCGAAGAACAGGCCTTGTGGACCTCCAAAGCCACGGAAAGCTGTGTTTGAAACAGTATTGGTTTTGCAGATCCGGCCGCGCACACTGACATTCGGAATTTTATACACGCCATCAATGTGCGACAAGCTTCGCTCCACTATAGCGCCAGAAAGATCTTGAGTGTGACCTCCATTGGCAAATACATCTGCATCCAGCGCAAGGAGTTTTCCATCTTTGGTCACACCCACCTTCCATCGACAGAGGAACGGGTGACGCTGACCGGAAGTCAGTATATCTTCATCTCGGTTGAGCATGCATCGCACGGGTCGTTTTGTTTTTGCAGCGGCAGTGGCACAAATAGCGGCTAGCTGAACAGATCGCGATTCCTTGCCACCAAAGCCACCACCAAGTCGCTTCACACGCGATACAACTTTATTCGCAGAAACTCCGGTCACCTGAGCGACGTAGGCTTGTCTTTAAAAAATTAGCTCATTCGCTCGAACTTTTATGCTTGAAATACAGTCAAATATTTCGCTACTCACGTTTCGGTAGGATTCTGGGTACCACTCCAAATCTCCATTTCACCATCCTCTATCTTTGGAATTGCCACACAGGCTTGAGTTTCCAGGTAGAAGTGCTCTTGGCCACCCATTCGCGAGGTTCCAGTAAAGATGTGGTCAGCTTGCTTGAAAGCTTCTTCAGTATCACCATTCTCAATGTAGCGATACTGCTCAAAGTAAGACTCTGCCTCGATAGCCTCTTCAATTGTAAAAATGCTCGGGAGATCTTCGTATTCAACCTTGACAGCCCTCATACCTTCCTCGGCGATCTTAGCGGAAGTCGCGAGAATCACACCAATCGGCTGACCAGCAGTAGTAACTTCATCGACGGCAAAAAAAAGACTCATCGGACTTGGGTTGCCCCCACCAGTTTGCCTGGGGGTTAGGAAGATCCGTGTGGTCCACGTAGTCTGTAACACCAGGAATATCTAATGCAGCGGACGGGTCCACGCTGAGGATCTTGGCATGAGGCTTGGTAGACAGAAGCATGCAGGCGAATAACTCATTCTGTTGCACAGGAATATCATATGTGTATTGAGCCTCTCCCGTGGTCTGCTTCAACGCAGCGACATGCGGGGTCGCTCGTCCAAGAATCTTCTGCTGATAGGCGACAGAAGTTTCAAGATCTTTTGCTCCTGTGGAAATTGCTCTTTCGATCTCAGCAACAACATCTGGATCTAAATCCGAAGCCTTAACATCGAGTCCTGAAAGTACATCGTGATAGAATCTGTAAAAGAATCCTAGAGCCAAAGACCTTCGGTAGCTAGCCATGCCACCAGGAACTCCAAAAGGCAGGTTGAAGTCCTGCTCCAGTGCGCTCATGACACCCTCTAGGGTTGCAGGGTTCGTGAACTTTTTGCCAACCAAAAATTCCTCGGCATTCGTCGCTGAGACGGTCATAGCCGCCATACCACCAAACACAAGGTTGGAGCTAATCACATCATTAGCACCAGAAAGAGTCACACGTAACGCGGAGTTGACAATGGCAATATCATCGTCCTTCCGCTTAGCCTGTTTGTAGGCTCGCATGTGCTCTCCATGTGCCTTCGCCACGGGAATGCGCAAGCTAGCTATGATTGCGTTGGGAGCGAGGGCAGTCTTTCTGTATCCTTGAAAGAATTCGGTCATTGGAATCTCAGTCTCACCTTCGAGAGACCTAGCCACGAGAATGGTGTTGGTGGCTACCAAAACCGGGTTAAGATCAGAGATGGGTGATGCAGTGGCCAAGTTACCCGCCGGGGAAGCGACATTTCGGATCTGTCGCCCAGCGAAATAGAGCAACTGTTTCTTGATCGCTTTGAAAGGTTGGCCTCTAGCATCGCCGTATTTCTCTACCGCTTGGTCACAGATGTGCTCGAGGTCGGTTAAAGATACGTTTGCACCGATCTCCAGAAAATCGTCGTGCAAGGTGAATTTTCGCAATTCTGGGATATCTCCCAGGTAGACGGAGACAGCGTATTGCATTGCCTTGAACTTGATCTCAATCTGAGTCTCTGTGCTTCCACCGACTAGTTTTGCGTCTGGGTGGACATTCTTAATCTGCAACAGTTGCGCGACGGTCACTGGTCGGTACCACTTCTTCTTCCTGTTGCCAAATGCTAAGGGTCGGTATTCGTGTTTCCGTAGGGCTGCAGGGAAGATCAACTCTGTGTCTGGACTGTACGGCTTGAATTCCGGTGCAGGAAATTTGTAATCGACTATCTCGTTCTCACCATCCTTAGAACCTTTACAGCAGCCACCGGGGCCTTTTTTCTCCATGCAGCAGCCCAATCCACCAGCAGAGGGCTTTCCACAGTTGTTGGTTGAGTTGAAGCTTTGAGCAGCATCCAGGATAGGTCGGTAACCCGTGCAACGGCAAAGGTTTCCATCGAAGGCTTCTTCGACGTCGTGCTCCGAGGGAGACGGGTTGTTTCGCAGCAGGGCATAAAGAGACTTCAATCTATAAGTCAACTTAAGATGCCCACAAAAAGCTAATCAAGCGAGGGGACCACATTGGCGTACCATGACTATTCCAGGAGTGCAGAAACCACATTGACTTCCATTACCGACCGCAATCCGCTGCTGGATGGCGTGGGGATCCTTCACATTCCCAATCCCTTCAACTGTAATAACGTGCTTACCGTCAACGCTAACGAGTGGAGCAATGCAGGCATTCACGGAGGCATGGTAGATCTTTTTCGTTGAAGAATTGATATGGGAGACGACCTATTGATCGTATAAAACTTGGGTTAGCACTAGGTACATAACCCAATACAGTTGACTTAAACCCACCACGGTGCAAGCACCACAGCCTCCCTCGGCACACCCAAGCTTTGTGCCTGTCAACCCAATACCCCGCAGGTATTCGAGTAGAGTTACTTCCGGGTTGATCGTATCTACTGCGACCTTGGCGCCGTTGAGGTAGAACCGAACAGTGTCATCCCAGTCTTTGGTCAATGCAGACAGGCTAGTCGGCTTTTCAACCGCGACCGTGTGGTCCGTCTCTAGGATTTCCGGCTCCATAGTGGAAATGTAGGTTGTGGCGATATTTAGGAGTAGGCTTTCAAGGGCGACTTCAGGTGCGCATTTTGGCTTTTGTAGCGAGCTTTGGAATTCAACAACGACCTAAATCAATTACTAAATTGCCAAGTCTCAGAAATTCTGTATCAAAGGAGGGGAAATGCAGAGGATGAGATCAGTTCTCCAGATTCGATATCAGGTGCCCCACTTGGAGTTGTTATCTTTGCGGGGATCGCCACTGTCCGATGGGAAATCGGCTGACCGTCGGATTCCGCCTTGGCATCTCTGGGGGCCAGTTGTTTTGCTGGGATTACCAACTATCCATCGACATTGGAATTTTTAAGAAGTCTGGAACTTCTGCGCAGTGGATAAGATTTCTATATTTGAAATACGCCAAACCAAAAAAGAAGCTACAATTAAGATTAGAAAGAAATGGTGCGTAGATGGTAACCCGCAAATGCACGCTCACAGCCTTGAGCCAGCAAAATACTTCTCTTCATCTTCCCACTTCTGGCGTTCAACGACGCTTCGGGCCCTGTATGATAATGGAATTAACAGAGATTCTATGAGACATAAGGTACAAGGCAACGACTTACCGATAGGCCTTGACAAAACGCCAAACCTCTGTGTCTGCAAGGTTCCAAGCCTCAACAACATCCTTGATGTTGATGCGGTTCGTTTCTTTATTCTTAATTACCTCGCGAGCCTTTTGGATCAGTTCGTACTCTTTGCCGATACCTTGCTCGCTTGGCGTGTGATCCTGCGCGCTCTTGGCGGAGTCTTTGTCGTTCTCGGTTGCGGGATCAATCTTACCCCCACGAGGGATCTTGAAACCAAACTGCCATTCAAACTCATCCAAGAGTTCTGAGGGGAGACTCTGGCCTGCTTGGGCAGGGAGAGATTCCACTGTCATCCACAAAGAAGTTCCGACAGCATCTTCGCCTGCGACAACCTGCTTGAAGATCACTCCCCGGTATGAAGAACCCAGTTCGGGTCGAAGGTGTTCCTTGGTTACCTCAGACAACCATGCGTCGCGCTCGGTCTCCCGGCGAACTAGCGGTGTAGTAATCTCCTCGGAGTTCTTCTGCAAGCTGATAAGAGTGTAAGGGTGAGGAAGGGTGCCGATGGTGAACAAGAAAGTGGTGTTTTTATAGGTCGAAGGCTGGCTGATACGCATGGGTTGCTTGTCCGTCCCAGACCCGCATGGATGGCATTCCGGCTCATTGGGTGGACAAGAGTCGGGAATGGGCGACTCGGGGCACTGAATCAGGGCCTTTGCAAGCCGAAGGGCAGGTTCCACCAGCGCAGTGGTGTGCTGAGGGAACGGTTTTAGCACAGCCAGTCCAGCAGGGAAGGAACTATGGAAGTGATTATGGAGGTGGGAGTTGATCAATTGGACAAGAGCCAGCTGACCGCTCGCAGGGCTCTGGGTCATCTTTTCATGCACGACAGAGTAGTGAGAGGTAATGAACGAGGATTGATAAAACGCCAAAGCGCTCGGCGGCTCAACTTTGAATAGTTCCGGTGCAATTAAATCAAAAAAGGACTGGGTTTTGTCATCGAACTTCAGGACTGCGCTCTGAATGGCCGTGTCGATCCGCGACTTGTCCGCTGAGTAGAGGCCATTCTTGAGGTTCTCAAATCGGGTAATTGACTCCGGGATACTCCCCCGGCGAAGATAAGAGAGCATTGGATCATCATACCGCGCCATGGGGAAACAGTGGAAGTCCGCCAGCAAGCCGGTTCCCATGTGCCCCCACGCAAGCCAGGCAAACACCTCGTTTTGTGCTTTGGGTGCGAGTTTCCACTTCTGAACAATTTCATAATTGGGGTTTTTCATCGCATCGCCCGGAGTCAATACTACAGGCTTGAATCCTTGCGCAAACCATGCCCGACGCCACGCGAGAAGCAATTCCGCATCGGCGTTCTGCAAGTCCTTGAGATCCTTGCCATTGGCTTTGTTGGGATTATACTTCGCATCGTAGTACGTGTAAATCGGTCGACGTTCGCGAAGGGGAGGGAGGACAGATCGATTCTCGTCCAAGGTGATAGCAGAGGAAAATGGGTTCAACCATTCGAGGGTGCTGTACCATTTCGATTCGCCGTGTGTGCTGTTGTTCTGTTCCTCAGGCTGCTCGTGGGAGGGAGGGCGGAACGATGGCAGGTGAAATTTGCTTAAAGAAGGTAGTTTTGATGTAGACACGAACTTGGCCGGACCTGTTGCAGAATGCTCGCCGGTATCAGGCACCGGAGAGGACGAGAAAATGAAAAGCAAAAGCGCGACGAAAACAATTACAGACAGGAGGGCTGTACTCCTGTGAGGAATCATCTTTCCAACATTCAAACCAGAGGACCTGTATAAAGGCCCGTCAAAAGTTGAGAAAACACGTGTAGCTTCAAACCGCGACGCTTCTCCTGAAACTCCACCTCGAACGAGACCGGATTTAGCCAACACAGTCTTGGCAAAAAAAATTGACGATGGTATGAAAGCAGCTCAGCACATGATCATCCGAATCTTATGGAGTGGATTGATTTCACCCTCACTTTAAAAGATGAACCAAATGCAAAATAGAACATTTAATGGCAATGTTTCTGGCTAGGACGGGCTGGTTCCTTGCCTAAGATTGAATGTCACACTATGACTAAGCCGATCCCTTGGAATCCTCAAATGACCTCATCGGAAGAGTGGTCCGTGAACCTCATAGGAGCTCTGGAGCATGGTCAAGGCCTCTTGGTTAACGACTGGGTATATGTCCAACTACGTATTGTGATGTTCATCTTTGAATAGACATGATAGTTGAAACTTTCAATCCCTAAACAAATGTTGCACTCATTTACGAGCAACTAACAGTGTGTCATGAACACCCTTGTCTCCGCATATACCCACTAATGGACTTGATGATGCTGTGTGAAGGTTTTGTATAAGATGATATATTTGACTATATATGATGTTCCACCAAGCTATTCAAAAACCAATTGATCTCTGGAAAATACTAGCAAATCTGATCTTGTACATTTATATCTTGATCTTCCATCTAAATGCTCTCTTCACCATTATCAGACTTCTGTGATGGTTGAATTAATTTCTACACTCAGCGCCCAGAAATAGCTAGATTGGGCAAGTATAGTCTCAAAGTTCCAAGTCATTCAGTGGTGAGGTCAGATGAAGGAGATAACTTAAAGCTCCTTGTACAAATGTGCTTTGTACTCTCAACGATATACGAACTCGCCGCTCATCTGTGCTACTCTGGGCTGGAGAAACCTCAACTCCGACGCCACCCCACTATACACAAGGCGGTGAGTGCTCTGTGGGGAAAGCAGCTGATCAGCGCCTCAATTCTCATTGGCAGAAATAGCGGCGAGATCGGACTTGAGGGGAATTTTAATATTGAGTCATCGTGTCTTTCATTCTCCATCTACTTTGAACATATTGCAATAATGGCTGTGGGAACGGCCTCTTTGCAGGACCGCCTGGAGATCTGGGCACAAAGGTTGAGCAACCTGACTGTCTCTCCATTGACTCGCGACTATCCCGATACACAAAAGACCGATAGCAAGAGAGTCATTGAAGCTTTTGAATCTCTTCAACTCCCCAAGGAGAGGCTCTCGGGCTCATCATCCGGATTTACAGCCTTCCTGACTGCTTTTATCGTTCTGGTAGCGCGATTGACCGGTGATGAGGACATCGCTGTGGGCACAAACTCCAATGAAGATGGTCGTGCATTCGTCATCCGGGTCCCCATTGATACCTCGGAGACTTTTGCCCAGCTCTATACTAAAGTCGATAAGGTACGTATGTATGCTTCTTGCCATATGGTCTACTGCTAAAAAAAGACTTGCAGGCATACAAGGAGGGCTCTTCCCAAATTGTGCCTTTGGGCAGCCTTCGCTCGTACATCCAAGAGAAGTCCAAGTCCGAGCGTACCCCAGTCCTCTTCCGATTTGCTGCATATGATGCCCCTGCTGCCTCACAAGATTACCCTGCAAACACCTTCGACACTACTGACTTGGTGGTTAATGTTGCACCCGGCTCAGCCGAGGTCGAATTGGGCGCATACTACAACCAACGTCTCTTCTCGAGTGCTCGTATTGCTTTCGTTTTAAAACAGCTAGCCAGTATTGCTAGTAATGCTGCTGCCAATCCAGATGAGGCTATTGGCCGTATCGATTTTATGACCGAAGATCAGCGCGCACTCTTGCCCGACCCAACATCAAATTTGAACTGGTCTAACTTCCGTGGTGCTATCCACGACATTTTTGCCGCCAATGCGGAAAGCCATCCAGACAAGTTGTGTGTGGTTGAAACTCAGTCGAACAGCTCCCCTCACCGCGAGTTCACCTACCGCCAAATCAACGAGGCCTCCAACATCCTCGGACATCACCTAGTACGGTCTGGCATTCAGCGAGGAGAGGTTGTCATGGTTTATGCCTACCGTGGCGTGGACCTGGTGGTTGCTGTCATGGGAATTCTGAAAGCCGGTGCGACATTCTCTGTCATAGACCCTGCCTATCCTCCGGAACGTCAGAACATTTACCTCGATGTCGCCCGTCCCCGCGCATTGGTGAACATTGCCAAGGCTACAAGAGATGCAGGTGAACTTGCGGACATCGTGCGCACTTTTATCGACGAGAATCTTGAGCTCCGCACTGAAATTCCTGCCCTTGCCCTACTTGATGATGGAACTCTTGCCGGTGGATCCATCAATGGTCAGGATGTGTTCGCCCACGATGTTGCACTGAAGTCCAAGTCTACTGGTGTCATCGTTGGTCCTGACTCTATTCCCACTCTATCTTTCACATCCGGCTCGGAAGGCCGGCCGAAGGGCGTTCGTGGCCGACACTTCTCCCTGGCCTATTATTTCCCTTGGATGTCCGAAACTTTCAAGCTCACCCCAGACGAGAAGTTTACTATGCTGAGTGGAATCGCTCATGATCCTATTCAGAGAGACATTTTCACACCACTGTTCTTGGGCGCTCAGCTGCTGGTGCCTGCTAGGGAGGACATCCAAAATGAAAAGCTTGCTGAATGGATGCAAAAGTACGGTGCCACTATCACTCACCTTACGCCCGCTATGGGCCAAATTCTAGTCGGAGGTGCCTCTGCCCAATTCCCTGCTCTTCATCACGCATTCTTCGTGGGTGATATTCTGATTAAGCGAGACTGCCGCTCACTACAGGGACTTGCCCCTAATGTCAACATTGTGAACATGTACGGAACAACTGAGACTCAGCGCGCTGTCAGTTACTTCGAAATCCCTAGCTACGCCAGCAACGAGGGCTACTTGAACAATATGAAGGATGTGATTATGGCCGGTCGCGGAATGTTGGATGTGCAGATGCTGGTTGTCAACCGCTATGACCCCACCCGTCTTTGTGCTGTTGGAGAGCTTGGCGAGATCTACGTTCGTGCGGCAGGTCTTGCAGAGGGTTACCTTGGTTCCCCGGAACTAAGTGCGAAGAAGTTCCTCACCAACTGGTTTGTTAAGCCTGAAGTCTGGGCGGAAAAGGATCAAGTCGAATCCAAGAACGAACCCTGGCGCGAATTCTACGTTGGTCCCCGTGATCGCCTTTATCGCAGTGGTGATCTAGGCCGTTATACGCCATCTGGAGATGTTGAATGCTCTGGTCGCGCCGACGACCAAGTCAAAATCCGTGGTTTCCGTATTGAGCTTGGAGAGATCGACACCCATCTTTCTCAGCATCCTCTGGTTCGTGAGAACGTGACCTTGGTGCGAAGAGATAAAGACGAGGAACCCACGTTGGTCAGCTACTTTGTGCCCGATATGAACAAGTGGGCCTCTTGGCTGGAAAGCAAGGGCCTTAATGATGATGACTCTGAATCTGAGGGTATGGTTGGTTTGTTGCGACGCTTCCGTCCTCTCCGTGATGATGCTCGTGAGCATCTCCGGAGCAAGCTTCCTACATACGCTGTGCCGACCGTTATCATTCCCCTCAAGCGCATGCCTCTGAACCCAAACGGCAAGGTTGACAAGCCCGCACTTCCGTTCCCAGACACTGCAGAATTGAGTGCCGCTGCACCCCGTCGCCGTTCATCTGCAGTGCAGGCCCTTTCTGAAACTGAGCAGATTCTGGCCCAAGTTTGGGCCAAGCTTATTCCCAATGTGACATCTCGCATGATTGGACCGGATGACTCTTTCTTTGATCTCGGCGGTCATAGTATTCTCGCACAGCAAATGTTCTTTGAGCTTCGTCGCAAGTGGCGTGTTATTGACATCAGCATGAATGCTATCTTCCGCAGCCCGACCCTCAAGGGATTTGCTAGCGAGATTGACCGCCTGCTAGCCATGGAATCATTCGCAACTAGCGATGACAAGACTTTAGCTGCGCAAGCTGCTAATAAGCCGGATGACGAGTATTCGAAGGATGCTGTCAAGCTTGTGGATGAACTACCCCAGACCTTCCCTCGGCGTACCGAGGCTATGCTCACCAGTGAGCCTACAGTGTTCCTTACTGGAGCTACTGGTTTCCTAGGCGCACATATCCTCCGAGACCTACTTACCCGCAATTCTCCCTCCACTAAGGTGGTGGCTCTCGTTCGGGCAAAGTCCGAGGAGCAGGCAATCGAGCGACTTCGCTCCACTTGCCGTGCATATGGTTTCTGGGATGAAGCATGGACTCAGAAGCTGCAAGCCCTGCGTGGTGATCTTGGAACCCCGCAGTTTGGTCTTTCCCAGTCAGCGTGGGACGACCTTACCAACCGCGTCGATACTGTGATTCACAACGGAGCTCTTGTCCACTGGGTCTACCCCTATGCGACTCTTAGACCTGCTAATGTTATGGGCACCATCGATGCCCTCAAGCTGTGCGCCAGCGGAAAAGCCAAGCACTTTGCCTTCGTCAGTTCGACCAGTGCTTTAGATAAGGATCACTTCGTCCAAGAATCCGAACGTATCATCGCCGCTGGTGGAAATGGTATCAGCGAAGACGACGATATGGAGGGCAGCAGAGTTGGCCTTGGAACCGGTTATGGGCAAAGCAAATGGGCTGCAGAATACCTTGTCAAAGAGGCCGGCCGCAGGGGCCTGAGAGGAACCATTGTTCGCTCCGGATACGTTCTTGGTCATTCGGTCACGGGAACTACCAACACTGATGATTTCCTCGTCCGTATGCTGAAGGGTTGCATCCAAATAGGCCTTCGCCCAAATATCTTCAACACCGTGAACATGGTGCCTGTCGATCATGTGGCTCGTATTGTCATTGCCACTGCTTTCCACCCACCTTCCACAGGCGTTAACGTCGCCCACGTTACTGGACACCCTCGTTTGCGCTTTAACCAGTTCCTCGGTGCGCTAGAGCTCTATGGATACAATGTCCCCCAGGTTGACTACGTGCCTTGGTCCACTTCTCTTGAGCAGTATGTCAACGATGGCGAGCACAATGACAAGGAGTCTCAGCATGCCCTGTAAGTACCACACTTTCTTAATCCTCTGGCGGATACATGCTAACCCTCTTTAGTATGCCTCTTTATCACTTTGTTACCTCAGACCTTCCCTCTAACACCAAAGCTCCGGAATTGGATGATGTCAATGCAGCAACGGCTCTGCGTGCCGATGCAACCTGGTCGGGTGTTGACGTATCAGCCGGTGCTGGCGTGACCGAGGAATTAGTCGGCTTGTACGTCTCGTACCTGGTTCAGACCGGTTTCCTTCCCGCACCAACCGTCGCTGGAGCCCGCCCTCTACCTGCTGCTCAGATTAGTGAGGAACAGAAGAAGACTCTGTTGAGTGTCGGTGGTCGCGGCGGTACATCTTGAATTTTATAACCAAAAGGCCCATGTACTTAACCTGATTCTCAAAAGTTTCAATCTTTTAAAAGTTCCTGCAAATAGAGATTCAATTGAACCATTAAAACGTGGCTTGTAGTGTCTACAACCCTGGCAGTTTGGAGTTGTTCGACTCTATCCAAAGAGCCCGATTCGCCGGTTGCATGCTACTCGGGATTCGCCGTAATCCCTCTCCACTCTTTGTTTACTTTCACTGCGGAAACTAGATCGCTTTAAAAATTTCCTCTTTCGTGCTCCATTTATTAGTATTCCATCATGCCTGAAAGCAAGTGTGTGAGCGGTACTTATGCGCGTTCTTGGCACTTCAACTTCCCCATCAATTTTTGCCCGCTCTCTTTCTTATCTCTCATTCCACCCGATCAAAACTGCCTGAGCTCTGTGAGACGTACCGGTTGTTAGGAATCATTGTCGCCCTGGTTATCTTTGTATTCCTCCGGTGTCCCTCAGTCAGCTCACCCTTCACCAATCCCTGTCACAGACCAGCTTCTTCCCTTTTTCTCTCCATGGGTGCTGCGAGATACACCGGGCGAACCGGTCTCATTGCGCGTGCAATGAAGGATTTCAGGTACTCACCTGGTTCCCTGCTCACAACTCAGTCTCGAGTGACGCGCAGCATGACCGCTCTCTCGTCATCGCCTCCCATCAAGCCCTTCTCAACCTCCACCTCCTTCTCCTGCGCCAGTCACCAAAGCACCAGCGCAGCATCACCCTCGGGCGTGCAGGCAGATCTCAAGCCTAAGAGCCAGGCTGAGATCGCTGGCACGGATCCCACAGATCGATATGCAGCAGGCCTGCGCCTGAACAAGGAGTGGGCTGCACAGACAGCCCGCAAACAGCCCGACCTCTTCCCTACCCTCGCCTCAGGCCAAACGCCGCAGATTCTGTGGATCGGGTGCTCTGACTCTCGCTGCCCAGAAACCACATTCTTGGGCCTCGAGCCCGGCGACGTCTTCGTGCATCGCAACATCGCCAACGTTCTCCACCCAGGCGACCTCAGCTCCTCCGCCGTTATCGAATACGCCGTACAATACCTGCGCGTCAAACACGTCGTGGTGTGCGGGCACACATCTTGCGGTGGTGTCGCGGCTGCCATGGGCAATAAGAATCTGGGTATCTTGGACCCGTGGCTATTCCCTCTTCGCCAGCTGCGCGAGCGCAACCTCAAACTACTTCAGTCAATGCCTAGTGATGAGGCAGCGTCGAAGTTGGCTGAGTTGAATGTTCGCGAGGGCTTGAACATTGTCAAGCAGAAGAGTGTTGTGTTGAATGCCATCCGCGAGCGAGGACTTGAGGTTCATGGCTTGATCTATGATGTTGGATCGGGCGTGCTCAGTGAATTAGACACCCAGGATTCGGAGGAGGTTATCAGGGCTCGTCTGACGGCTTTCCACACGGAATAAGTTGGCGGGGTTTTTTCGGAGTTGGGGGGGGGGGGGGTTTCGGCCGAAGGTCAACTCATTGCAAATGTAGAACTCCGTACAAGTGTCACATGGAACATCTCTAGATAGCGACTGTGTTTTTTGATGAATTGATGATAAAGATAAACCATGTAGAAATCATCCCTTTTTCTGGCCCTGGGGAAAATGTCGAGGCTATGCAATGCCCATAAATATGGAGTACCGGATGGCATGATGTGTGTGGATCAGGGGATCCGCAATGGCCAAGGCAGTAGATCGTGTAAATAAGGCCAATTACTGTGAAACATCTTTATATCGTATTCAGGTCCAATCAGGGACTTTTATGGTTGTAGGGCTCTACTTTGTGTGTGTTGTATACGAAGCACATTGCATACACACCTTGTGTTGGTGAATAGCAAATTGTAAAGTGTTCTTGTCTAGCAACTTCATCCAAAAGGTACATGATTCCTCCACCATTTAATTACGCCTACAACATAAGTTAGTTTAAAAAATAAGATCCGTAATAGCATTGAGGAATCGAAATTCAATTTCTGAGAAGGTGTAATAGTAATATAAGAGGGGGCTCATACATTTAGGGCAAAAATATAAGGGTAATCCCTCCTTCCATTCCTGGCTCCTTCTCTGAGTATTTGAAGTTTCCCTTCACCCTCTTAGGTCAAAGTCTACCTTTTCTTCTTCCAGTTCTTGACATTCAACATGGCGATCGAGATCTCAGATGGTGTTGGTGAGTCTATGGCCCTTCTAATATTCGACTATCATTCACCTAAACACGCTAATAATCAAAGCCATCGGTGATAGCACTACAGAACCCGAGACCAAGGATATCCAGTATGAGCCTGTGGGCACCATCTGTGATTTCCGCACCCTCTATCAGACAAATCCCGATTCATTTGACGAGCGGGCATGGAGCAAAGAAGTACCCATCGACTTACCTGATCCCGTCGAGGATGCAGAGTCAGCGCAATACGCACTTCTCGTGAGGAAAAAAAAGTGCTATTATGGACGCAGTAGCTTGTCGGTTCATTCTATCGTAGTACAAAGCGAGCGTCTCAAGGTATTTTTGAAAAAGGCGCTAAAGAATTATCCTGGTGTCATCCCGACCTTGCAGCGCCTCGAGATCAAATCACCTTTCCGGCCTTTTGTTCATCGGTGGGAAACCATTACCAAGCTGCGAGATAAAAGAGCAGGATTCAATAACCAAGGCTCATGTAGATACATTCTTCCGAATCATGGACGAGGAGCTCAGTTGATGTCATTGACCGCAAAACCGATCTAGTTGCTAAGGGAGTCATCACACCCACGGGTTGGCTTGGCCGATTTTGGAACCGCAAGACGTAGTCCTTTCCTTGGATGATGAAGTGCGTGCATATTTGTTCAGGCAGGTGTCATCGGAAGATGAACCATCGCAAAATGATTATTTCGAAGTCGAATACGTTGAGTTCAACGGAAGTAGGTTCGGATACAGTTACGCCGGGTTCACCATACAAGCTTTCCGGGCACTATACCAATTCCCTCATTGCCTATCTTTCCACTCGGGTACCACCCAGAGAAGGATACTATCCAGAAGGTGTCGACTGAACGGGGCAAGAAGTGGGAAGCATACAAAGAGTACCATTTCAGATCCTATGAACGGGTATCAAACAGCAAGAACTCCAAAAGTCGGGACACCAATTTTAAGGACACCAAATACCGTGTCAAGAGTCGCGTCATTATCGACACTGAGGTATACAACCTTTCTGAATCGACGAGGTCAGTTCAAATTTGCAGGGAGATTGATGGAGAACTGGACGATTTGCAGCGCCTGGTTGCAACCCCAATACTTTATGGATATTCTCTGAATGACAAGGGATGGTGTTCGTTCCATGTGAACCATTTGAAAGACATTGAGTGGAATGAGCAGGCCGTTGGGTCCCTAGTTCTACTGCGGGAGCAGCAGGGACTCAAGGAAGTGATCTTGGCCGTTGCAAAAGCTCAATCAAGGAAAGTGGATGAATTCGATGATATCGTTCGGGGCAAAGGCAAAGGGTTCATTATGCAGCTTAGCGGCCCTCTGGGGTCGGAAAGACCCTTACTGCGGAAAGCGTCGCCGAGGTCATGAGGGTTCCTCTGTACGTCATGAGTGCGAGTGACCTTGGAGTTGACTCTAGAGGGTTTGAAACAAAATTGAAAAGCATTTGGCAAAGCCCTAAAGCCCTAAGCTTCCCAAGTGGGGTGCTGTTCTGTTGCTTGATGAGGCCGATGTCTTCATGAAAGCCCGTGATTCAAACAATCTCGCTCGCAACGAACTTGTCTCAATCTTCTTGAGCATGCTGGAATACTACGAGGTAAGCTCCAATCGCAAGATCATCGAGGCCAGAAGAGATGGGAATAATCATGCAAAAAATGACATGTTACTGATCTTCTATCTTTCTCTTCAGGGTATTCTCTTCTTGACCACCAACCGTACGCAGAATATCGATCCTGCCTTCGAGTCTCGGATCCACCTTTCCCTCACCTACAAGGATTTCGATGCAGAATCCAGGCGCCAGAGCTGGGCACAGTTCCTAAGCCACTCAATGAACAATGAGGCCTTCACGGATGAGTAACTTGACCAGGTGGCCGAGTTGCAATTGAACGGTCGTCAGATCAAGAATGTGATCAAAACAGCTAGTCTCCTGGCTTGGTCCAAGGAACGTGAGCTTCGATATGAAGATCTGATGACGGTGCTTGCTTTGAGAGATATGCTAAAGTAATGCCTGGTGAGTGATCATGAGAGAGTAGCTACATAGCTAGTGATACCCCATGGACTTAACATCCGATTTCCTAAAAGGGAGGGAGGAGGGGGGGATAAAAACCACAAGTTTAGGGCTCAACTTTTTTTTAGTAATTTTCTTCCAACATGGTGATGCGTAAATGCCGTTAAATGTTAGGGGGCACTCGGTTACCCGTTTACCGCCGACGGGTCCCACAAGGAGCACATACCCGACACAATCAGCCAAGACATTCACTTCTCGTTCCATCGAGTCATGTTTATACAGCCTTGGCTCTCACTACCAAAAGTTTCCGGCATAGGGGTCCCCTGAACCACACTTGTCCATAGGGCTGTATGGGGCTCTTCGTTCTCGTTCCCGGATACGCAGACACCGGCCCACTCGGTTCCACTCGGCATGGGTAATGTTGAATGTGCAGTTTGAAGATGATCTGGCTTCTCAAGGCTGAACAAATGTTATTACCCCGGCACGGCGATCACTATCTAAAATAAAAAAGACTTCACCAAATACACCAAAAACATCAAAACACCATCTCCAGAGCTGAGCAGTGACCCCTGACTCAGGTCCACAGTGTGTTGGCTAGTGCACCCGCACGATCCGACGATTTCACAACATTCTAGTCCTCCAATTGAGGTAGCGCCCCCATGGCACAACTCCGATAGTATGCTGCTGTGGAGCACGCGAGTAGTCAATTTTTTCTCCTGATTTTTCTCGTTCATCTCTTTTCTCCTCTGCCCCTTATATCGTGATAATCGGATTGGCAAACAGTCCGTGTCGAAAGATTTCCTAATGTTGGCCACTTTTCGAGTTGGGCCATTATGATTGTCACTCGTTTTCATCATCCGCAGCGCTTGATTTTATCTATTTTGGTGCTGTCCGGTCTCTGTTCCAAATTGCTTCACATATACCAACATCGATCTCTTCCCCTATACCTTTTGGCCCTCTATTTTCCAACCTTCTTCATTGAGGAGATCTTTCTATTCGTTACAATATGGATTCTCTTATATTCAACCTCCGGTCGGTGGTCAGTGGCCGCCGTTGTCGGCTCGGCGATTGTCGCGTTGGTTCACCTTTTCCTCAACGCGACGGGCAACAAAATTGACTTTTACCCTCAGATCCATTGATTTGTTAGCAACGTCTTCGCAACTTAGCTTCTATTCACAGACCGGCAGTGAAATTCGATGGGATGCAGCCAGGTCCGTCGGCACCAGTCGGCAGGGAATGAACTTGATAATGAGCGGACTGGTCCCTATGGCTACCGCTACAACAGTGATCACGGTAGCTTCCTGGCTTATGGCTCCAGGGATCTGGAATGCCATGACTCGCTGGCTATGCTCCCTCACTAATATTGGAGATGCCAAGACTTCCGCCGTGTTACCGGGGCCTTCAGATCTGAGAAATCTAGTGTCGAAAAAATATCGCCTTTGGACGCTTGTGTGTACTGGTATCACGATCGGACTCTGGCTTATCCGCCCACCAGTCCCATACAATCATTTGACGGGAGCTCTACCCTTCATCATGCTTGGCGAACACTCTCGAGCTCGTCGGATGACCATCGAAACATTCCCACTGCCTGAGTTGCTGGCGGAGCGATATCGTGAGCCTGCAAATGGGTACTATAGGGGGTGGGCACCGACATTGAATGACTCGGGTAACATTGCCTATGGAAATAACAAGCCAGCCTGGGCGCAAGGCCCTCTACCTGCTGCGTTTGAGAGATGGATTGTGAACCCCGATTCGAACACGACCGAAATCATCTTAGGAGCCTCTAACTCGACCGTTCGAAGCGTGCCGAAGAGAGGCAAAAAAGTATCCAAGTCTAAAAGCCATAGAAAGAAAGCAAAACCGCGACACTACTTCTATAATCCCGTTCAGGATCCCATGAGGATAAGCAACTTTGACCTGGAACCACTTATTCCCCTGCAGGAGGCTCTGAAGGACCATGCCATTCCGATCAATCATATCGTCTTTGTGTTCTTGGAAAGTGGTAGAAAGGACCTATTCCCCCTCAAAAACGATTCTCGCTTATACAACCAAATCCGCAAATCACATGAATTATACGATGAGCAGGATGAAGCTGATCTACATGACAAGCTGTCTCAGATTACTCCCGTAGCAGAGATGCTTACAGGGGAGCAATCTGGCTTCGGCACCTCGGTTAATTCTACGAATCCCGGACTGGGTGGTCTCAGCTTCGACGGGATATTGTCCGGTAGCACTCTCTCTGCGAAATCCCGTCTTGTCAACTACTGTGGTCTTGCACCGCTCCCAGTGGACTTTATGCATGAAAATGGCATTATTCCATACCAGCCTTGTCTGATGCATATCATGGATCTATTCAACCAGCGCAAGAACTCTTCTGCCTCTGCAAACTCCTCTATCTCTGGGAATTCCACCAACAGTTATCTAGAACGGCAGTGGCAAACCATTTATGCGCAGTCTGTCACTGGACAGTTCCAGGGACAGGCTCTGCTTATGGATCTGCTCGGTTTCAACCAGACATTGTACTCGGAAGACATCAATGTGAAGGACGCCAAATATTTCCATGAGGAAATGCAAAAGATCAACTATTTCGGGTATGTTGTCAAACAGGAACCCGGCAGCTATTAATTGCGTGTCAGTACTAACTTGGTATAGTTATGCTGAAACCGAGGCCCGCCCCTATATCAAAGACTTGATCGACGAAACACTTCGTCAGAAAAAGAGACTCTTCCTTTCGCATTTCACCAGCACCACTCACCACCCTTGGGGTACACCCGAAGGCTGGAATCGAGAAAAATATTTCGGCAATGTCCGCAAATCACAACGCGAACCCATGGACGACTTCCTCAACGCCAACCGCTTCGTCGACACATGGCTCGGTGACTTGATGGGCATGTTGGGAGAAGCCGGTATCGCCAACGAGACCTTGACGGTCTTTGTTGGAGACCAGTACGTATAATATTTCACTACCCAACAAACTTGACATCTAACCCGTAAAACAGCGGCCAAGCATTTAGAGGAGACTGTCCCGTCACAGGAACCTACCACAACCCACATATCAGCAACTTCCGCGTACCCTTACTATTCCACCACCCCTTACTACCCCGCATGCACCTCAATGTCAACGGCAGCGCCGTATCTATCCTCCCGACAATCCTCGATCTCCTCGTGAACACCAACTCCCTCAATGCAGACGACACCGAAATTGCCCTGGATCTGATGAACGAGTATGAGGGACAGTCCCTCATCCGGCCATACCGTACCTCGCACAATGGCCGCGAAGCCTGGAACATGGGTGTCATTAATGCCGGTGGCTCAATGCTTAGTGTTGGCTCTGCTGCTGTGCCCTGGCGTCTCAGCCTACCATTGAACAATGACTTCGAGTACCGGTTCACGGACTTGAGTGAGGACCCGTATGAGCTTGATCCTGTTGCCTCCTGGACTATGCCTGCGCTTGCTGCGGAGATTTATTCCAAGCATGGGCCTGACGCTTCTAATTGGGCTCAGAAGGCTGAGAAGGTCGGTCTTTGGTGGGTTGCTGAGCGGAAGAAACTTTGGAATTATAGTGATTCTGATGAGTGAGGCACTGTTCACTATAGTGGACGGCTTATGTTTTGTTTTCTTTTTTTTCATGGTCATTGGAGCGATTTGCATAGCATACACTCTGGGGTATGTGATTTTTTGGGAGCTGGCTACCCAGGGTTAGTTTGGTTGCCTTCCGGCTGTGTATAACATTCAGGTTGGGTAGACTGACTGTATACCCATACAGTACATTTTTGCCTTTTTTCTATTCGTATCGATTCTAGGGCAGCTATGAGCATGGAATAGTCAAAACGTCAAAATTGTCACTACTGATGTTTCATCAACAGCATCTGTCGAAACCTATATCCCGTATTTCAAGTCTTGCGACAAACCCCACATTTTAGCGCCTAGTAAATCACCCCCCTAACCAGCCCAATTTTAATTTTTCTTCTTATACCTACTATGCGCTCCTTTGGCGTTGAATCTCTAGAAATGGGGGCATATAGGGTGAGCTTTACCCTAAGCAACACTCTGGGATCTACAATGACCTAGATACAAGGGTATCTACTTCAAAATCCGCCGTCGAATATACAAACTACCGTAGCACTGTACCGTATTAGAAAGCGGTTTTAGAGTCAAAAATTCGTCCTTAAAACCTCGTACTAACCGTCTACCGATTTTTGACTGTCACAGATAACCATGTGCGCTGCTATAAAATATTGGTCCTGGGCATGTCAGAGCGAGAGCTCTGACACAATGGTCTTGAGAGAGGGTACCTAGATGATCTACTATGAAGTTGTAGATATAACTGGAAATCTCTGTCATGCGTGGAGAGAGAGGGAGAAACTACCTACAGGCACTAGCTAGACTAAAGTACTGGGAGCAACCGGGGAAGTCACATGCCTTCCAACATTATGATATGTCCCGTTTCGATCAGGGACAGTTATCTAATCCCCTACCACACCCTTGACCGCAGATACCACAACAGCCTTCAACATTGTGTTGAAAGGGAGAGCCATCCGCCGAGCGCTTCAGGCAGAAAGTCACCCCGATTCACAGAGGCCTTGGGTACTAATGGCTTGTGTACAAGACATTCACATCGCCAGGTCTTCTTCATGCTTGCTGTGCCGACAAGCTCCAACTCCAGGAACGACAATCCTCGGTACGTCGTCTCCTCCCTAACTTTGCTTGTCTAATCCAGTTCACAGACCTGAGTCAAAACCTGCTTGTTGTTCCAGAGTGCAAAACTCAAATTATCGATAAATATGAGTACCTTCCTCTGATCAAGGATAGCGATGGCCCTATCTCAGGTGTCTTCCATGATGGATTTGACCCAGCTTCCAATTACGTTTCAGAATTTGGAGTTACCTGCAGTCGCTCGTGTCGGGGCGGAGCCTCAGACCTGCTTCCCATCGATATTCGTCTTGAACCCCCGGCAGTTCCTCCCGGCCGAGGCTCAATAGCGAGTACTTGGTATATGACAAAAGCTTCACTCAATGGTCTTGTCAAGGTGCAGGTCTGCAGAAATCAGTATCAGTCACATCATCCAATATCGGGTCTGCTGCTGTTTTTCACTGACGAGCATGTCGAATCGCTCAGGCAGGCGCACTGGGACTACGATCTAAGTCAAGAGATTCTCATGCCTATGTACGTCGAAAAAGGTACCATCGGTGGACGAGCTTACATCAAGGACATCTGAGAGAGATGGTATTCAGTCTACAAATGAAGCTATAGATGAAACTGGAGATCTCTGGGCGGGTTGGGTTTTGGGTACCCGCGGGTTTTACGCGACTCAGGAATAGATAGATCCAAACGCACGACGCGACTGGAACAAAATCCACAATCAAGTACCCAGGATGAAAAAAAACCCCCCTTCTTCCAATATCAGTGGCCCTTTACTTCAGTATGGCGTCTTCTTCCTCATCATCGCGATCAATACATCGGCCTTTCAGTCCACTGCTCTCCATTGAGCCGTCATCTGACGGCTTCTTGGATTCTGATATTCAATCCTCCGTAAGAAAATGGTCCCTTCCACTAGCCTCTGATTGTTGCGGCGCTACCTACGTGTATACTAAGATGGACCGCAGCCTTTCACAGAACCCCACAAGACATACGACATAACTACTCGAAGACCTCCAGCGACACTCCGACGTGTGGGACCTCAGCACAGAAAGAAATGGATTGCGTACGAGTCGCATTTAGAGATGGAGTTTCTTGAATGGTGGAAGGAAATAGAGTGCGGCCAAAAGCTGAACGGAGAAGGCCAATCCCAGATCAAATGGTCCACCGGATCGCGTCACGCTGATGTGTGGAAACACTTTGACCAAGTGGCTGATATTGATTCTGGGCGCCCTCGAGTCATCTGCCAGGCTTGTCTCACTGTGCTTGATCATCCACAGTATAAAGGGAATGGGACAAGCGCCATGAGTAGACACAAAAAGTCTAATACTTGTCGTAAAGGGAAGAAAAAGGGACTTAATCAGTCATTGATTTCGGATTCTTTGCAGAACCATTTCACGAGAGACTCAGCCAGTATCCACAGAGTGACGAAATTTCAAATCGAGGAGCAGATATTGAAGACAATTACGTGTCTTCGTTTGCCTTTCCAGACGGTGGAGAACCCGGTGTTTCAGAGGCTACTCAACCTTTTATCTTCTGGTCCCGGAGAATTGGAACTCCCGTCAGCGAAGACCCTGCGGAGACGGCTCCGGGATGCAGTCAATTGCCAGCAAGAGTTACAGTTACAAGATCTGCCTGAAGATGCCAAGGTTTCCCTCGCTTTTAGATTGTTGGACCAGTCCATTTCAGCAGGCATTCATGACAATCACGGTTTATTTCATCGACAAAGATTGGAACTATAGGGAAATGCTCCTCGGCTTTGAGCCGTTGCACGGTCCTCATACAGGCAACAACCTTAGTGATTTTTTGCACCGGTTACTGGAGGAACGAAAACTTCTGGATCGTATTTTTAGCGTTACTACAGATAACGCTACCAACAACGACGCCATGATACGCGCCTTGCAAGAGAGACTGCTCTCTATCGGAGCTATTAGCTCTTACCCGGCCAGAAGAGATCTTCTGGTCGGGTAACAATGCCCTTCAGCAGACTGCGAGGTTTCGAGGTATACTAGTCTTTATAATTAGCCAATTTAAATTTTTCAAGCCCTTCATGTTCCTTTCCAAATATTCTCAGCTAGAAGCTATCAGTTACGCCATCGAAACAATTAGATAATCGAAAATTACTGCACAACTTAGTGTAAAATGATCAGTCAGCTTTTTTTGCTTTTTTGGGTAATCGCGGGTACCCATTGGGGTCTTGGGTTGGGTTTCCCGGATGACAACCCACCCACGGGTTTGCTGACTAAGACCCAACCCGGCCCATGGGCTGGGTTTTCGCGGGCGGGTTTGGGCGAGGCCTAGTAAGAGGAAGATCACGGCACGTGATCTCCGACCTGTTAATCTGAACTTCAGTTCTAGATCCTGTTGTAGCTCTTCGAGCTACGTCTTGTATAATAGCCTGCCCCTGTCTGTACCTGTCAAGTGGAATCTGATCTGCTATGACCTGTTCCTACCAGTCATCTCCTATCATACCGTCCTGCTAGCCCGCACCCTGACAGAAAAGCTCGAAAAGCCCGAAACCCGACCTGACTCGACCCTCAAAAGGGTCGGGTTTCGGGCTTTTGGAGCTTTTGGAGCTTTTCGAGCTTTGCGGAAGTCTACTAGTCCTAATAGGGACTTAATACCTTAGTCTACATACCGTAGTAAAGGGCTATATAGCGAATAACGGTAGTA